GACAGCCCGGGGCCTGCAAAGGTAAAGGACAGACAGGAGGGCTCCTGCCCTCTGCCCATGCCGCGACCAGATCACACCAGCCAGACCATGACCCACCTTGTACTCCAGGAAGGGCCCATGACTGGATACCTACAAATCTCACTCACACACATACGCATTCATTTATACTCTACATGATTCTTCCACGTGGGTACCTACATAGCATCCTCATTATTTTTAATGGCCGCAGTGTCCCATTGAATTGGTGCCCTATAATTTACGTAAGTAATTTCCATCCGCAGATATTTATCTCTGCCTTTTATTACAAACAGCACCACGATGAATATCCTTGTTTAGATGTGTTCCAATGTCCTTGGGCACATTACCGCACTGTTTTAACGCCTGTTTGGTATGCTACAAGGATGAGATCTAATAATTCACAAATGCATCCCCAACTTTCCACACTCTGAGTGTCTCCACAATTTTTTTTATTGTGAAAATACTGTACAGAGGGGTTACAATTACATGGGCAAGATAATGAGCATATCTCTTATCAAGCATTGTAGCCTCCTTTGTTTCCCCCTCCCATCCCATCCTCCCCGCCCCCCACCAAAGTTGTAAAGTTCATTTTTGACATAAGGACTTGTAGGTCTCATTGTTGCAATGGGTCCACCTGTATCCCTAGTTAAACGATTTCACAATTTCTTTACAAAGGATGCTGTTATGATAGAAATCCTTGTACTGTTACTTTTTGAGGATAAATGTTAAAGACATGTTAATTTTTTTTTTTCAGTACTGGGGATTCAACTAAGTCACTTGAGCCACTTGATCCCAGGCTGAGTCTTTTAGTTTGTTTCGTCCCACAACCCTGGACCTGTGTCACCAGGCAGGATTTTTCTGAGACTAAGAAACCCAGGCCTGCACATAATCTAAGAAGGTAGGAACGCTGCCAGCCTGCACAGACAAAGAGGTGCACCAACTGCATGTAAGCTAGGGACAGAACTGTCAATTCTGCACTTCGGTTCTGGGACACTGCCAGCCAGCCGTGGCATTTTCCCCCTGCAGTGGTGCTTTGGGCCGCAGGCATTCCCTTTCTCCCCTTGTGCTGACCGGCCATCACGATGCATTCCCGAAGTGGCTAGTAAACTCTTCTGCTTGTTTAATATTCATGAAACTTCCATATGGCCTGCTCTTCCAATTTGCTTTATTCTTTTGGGGTTGTTTTTTGGTGTTACTAGAGCTTGAACTCAGTGCACTCTACCATTTGAACCACAATCCCAGTTGAGAATCCATTTCTTGCCTTGTTTAACATCCAGGAGCACACACACCTTGCAGACTTCAGTTTCCAAATTCGGGTGACCTTCTCTCTTGAGTCTCTTACTCCCTTGGTAAAAACGGTGATGGCCTTGGGCCCTTGGATAAGCCAGGACTATCTCCCCAGCTTAAAACCCTCAACTGAGCCAGCTGAAAGACCCCTGTACCACACAAGGTTACACTCAAGGTAGATGTGTGCAGAGACCCACCACAGAGTCTAACAAGGAGAGGCAGTGAGGCCCAAGAGGAGATGGAAGGCAGTCCGTGGTCCTTGTCAGTGAACATACAGAGATGGCCATCAGGGAATGTCTAATCCCAAACACATCACAATGTCTCTACTGAGACTAAACAGTTCCCACTCCATTCCAGCTGGAGCAAGAAAGGACATCCGGTCAGTTTGGAGAGGAATGAAATGTGACTGGTGATGCCTTGACACGGCATCTGTACAGCTGGCAAAGGGAGAAGAAAGAACACAGCTCTGGGCTGACCTAGCTGGTTTATCCATGAAGACTCATCTACCAGGGTGCAGCAGAAGAGCCACCCATCACATCGAGTCAAATCCTGGCCCTGGCGGTAAGAACACACAAGTCCAATTCCAAAAGGCTACAGCATGACATTCTTAATCCCCAGTGAACCAAGAGGCCCTCCTGGGTTCCCACCAGCCTGGGGAAACACTTGCTGTGGGCTGGTCTCTCAGCTGGTAAACTGTTCCACAAAATGGAGTTATTTTTTAATACAGCTTGTTCAGATCCATAGACTCTTTTGTGTGGCAATATAGTAATTACATGTTTACATGTTGCTAGTTGGCAATTTCTCATCTTTGTTCTTCTGATAGTAAAAGAATACTCTGCTTATGGAGAGAACAATGCAGGAACCAAAACCACAGCTCAACACCCACCTTGTGCTAAGGGGTCCCCATGTCTTCTGCCACTGAATGAAATGGCCAATGATGGACATGAAGCCACAATGACCAAGGGAAGACCGAGTTAAACCTTGATGAGAAACCTGTCCAATGAAGACAGGTTAAACCAGAAGTGCAATGTTTGATAGGAGCTGATTATTGCTCAATTTTCTAAAACCTGCTAACATCTGTCTTCATAGTGAAACTGAAGTCTCAGATGCCCCCAGGTCCAAACTCCAGGAGTTCCGTACATCAGGGCCAGCCACTTACCCTGTATGCCAATAAAGAGGCAAGGTGAGGGGCAGTGTCCTGGGAAGACAAAAAGACAGCACTTCAATCCTGGGCTGTCGGCAGGGGTACAGCCATCTGTCTTAGGGGGCAGTGAGTGAGAAGGTGTGTATAATTAAGACTGTTGTGTTTGGGGTGGTAGAGTGTTTCAGTAATGTGTGTAATGGCTGGGGGTGGGGAGGGGGAGCTCTAGCCCTTCCTGGATGCTAGGGCGGCATCCAGGTAACTAGAGCAGCTAAGGCATTTTTATGGCTCTAGACAAAGACATAAATACAGAAGGTACTGGTGGCTCATACCTGTAACCTGCTACTCAGGAGGCTGAGATCTGAGGATTGCAGTTCCAGACTTTTATTTAATCACCATGAAATTGAAGTGGGGCTGTGGCTCAATGGTAGAGTACCAGCCTTGGGGAAGAGAGCTCAGGAACAGCCCCGAGGCCCTGAGTTCAAGCCCCACAACCCACGACAACAAAAAGCAAACACAAAGATGGAAAGTCTGGAGGCCTGGTTCTAACCTTGCTCCTGGTGATTCACGGGCCCAGCAACGGCAGCTTTAAGACACAAGAGCCCCGGAAGCTGGTTATTTATCAGGTTTATTTACTTCGGGTCCCGAGGTGGCAAGTCCAGGAGCCTTCCTGCTGCTTCCTGCCTCGGCGGGGCATCACAGCAGGTCCGAGGGCCACCGGGCCACGCCGGGTTCCCTCCGTCCACGGCCCGACCACACGCACACGCACGCGCACCGCCCGGGGACCCCGAGAATGCGGCGACGCAGCTGCGCGGGCGACCGCGGCCCGGTCCGCAGGCCTTACCTCCAGACGCCGTCCACAAACGCCCCTGGGCCTCAGCTCTGACACCTCGCCGAGGCCGGGCTGGACGCTCGCGTGCGCACCCGGGGCCGGGGCGGGAAGCCACATCAGCGTCCGCACCCCGGAAAGCGGCATGCGCGCCCCGGGCCGGGCAGGCAGGAAGCCGCGACCACACCCCGGAAAGCGGCATGCGGGCCCAGGGCCGGGCAGGCGGGAAGCCGCGTGCGCACCCAGGGCCGGGCAAGCGGGCCGACCCGCTCGACGCTCGCCCAAGGCGGGAAGCCGCGTGCGCACCCCGGGCCGGCCGAGGCAGGAAGCCGCGTGCGCACCCCGGGCCGGACAGGCGGGAAGCCGCGTGCGCACCCCGCCGCCCTGGGCCTCTGACCCGGAGTCACTGGAGCAAGCGCGGCCCGCGGAGCCGCCGGGCCGGAAACCGGGCCCCGGCCGCCCTCCGAGGGCCACCGCCCGCCAGTGCGCGCGGCTCAAGGCCCCGGACGGCAGCCTCGGAGCTGGGTCCGCGGCGCGGCCTCCCGCGGCCGCCCCCGCCCCCGCCCCGCCCGCGCCCGCGCCCGCCCCGCGCCCCCGCCCCGCCCCGCGCCCCCGCCCCGCGTCCCCGACGCCCCGCGCCCCCGCCCCGCGTCCCCGACGCCCCCGCCCCGCGCCTCGCGCCCGCGCGCGCCGCACTTTCGCCACGTTCTCGGCGGCCCCGAAGCCCGCAGCCCTGCCGGCCAGGCCGCGCGCCCGCCCTCCCGCCCGCCCAGCCGGGACGCGCGCGGACGCGGGGCGGGGGCCTGCGGCCTCTCCCACCGGCCCGAACGGCCCCGACGCGCGGCGAATCTGCCGCCGCGGCCGCCGGAAGTGAGGCCGCCCTGGCGGAAGTCGCGCCGCCCCCATTTTGTGGCCCGCCATGGCGGCCGTGTCGAGGCTGCGGCCGGGACGCGGCGTCTGGGACTGAGGGGCCGGGCCCGGGAGGCTTCGGGACGTCGCGCGGCGCAGCGGAGGACCTGCCCGGACGCCGGGGCCGCCGCCATGTACGGCGCGGGCGCGGGCCGCGCCAAGCCCGAGAGAAAAGGCGGCGCGAAGGAGGAGGCCGGGCCCGGCGGCGCCGGCGGGGCGGGCGGCCGGGTGGAGCTGCTGGTCTTCGGCTATGCCTGCAAGCTGTTCCGGGACGACGAGCGGGCCCTGGCCCAGGAGCAGGGACAGCACCTCATCCCCTGGATGGGGGACCCCAAGATCCTCATCGACAGGTCGGTGCCTCCCCCCCCCGCCGACCCTCCCCTCCCTCGCCCGCTCGCTCCGCCTGACGCTGACTCGCTGCCGGGGACCGAAGGGGCCCGGGGGCCCGGGGGCCTCCCGCCCCGGCGGGAGGGGGGACGGTGAGGCCCGCCCCGCGGCCCCGGCCGGAGCTGGCGCCGCGCCCGCCGCCGAGGAAGCCGCCGGGGCCGCGGACCCGCGCCGCGCGCCCCGCCCGCGGGCGGCCGGGAGCCGGGAGCGCGCGCGGCCTCCGGAACGCCGCTTTCGGACCCCGCGAGCCGGCCGCGCCCCGGGCCGGCCCCGCCGCCGGGCCGCCGGGCCGGCGCAGAAGCCGGACAGCGCGGCCGAGGCCCTCCGCGCGGACCCGGGGCCGCCGAGGGGCCGGGCCGGGGCGCGGGCGCGGCGGGCCGGCCCGGGCGCGGACTCGGGGGGCGCCGCAGGGTGTAGGGTGGCTCCCCGCCCTCCTCCCCGGGTCTGGGAATCTCTTTCGGCCTCCGAGCCGGACTGCAAAGCTAACTGCACCGACCTCCTGCCACTAAGCTCCAAGGTGAAGGAAGCCCACCGTTGGAGAGGCCCAAGACTGCGTCTGCAAAGCCTTGGAACGCGACTGTAGGGGGACCTCTGAGCTGGGCCAGGATGGACTCACGCTGACCGGGAGGCCTTTTGCCATCCCTCACAGTCCCCTGTGGAGTTAGCGCTAGGAAGCAAGGACTTTGTGAGGGGCTGCTGCAGATGGGGTGCGCTCTCTGCCCAGACCTGCCGGGCCTTGAACCGCTGTCTAGCCAGTGACGTTGTGGCCTGAGTTACCTGCTTTCCTGACATGTATCTAAATTAAAGTTTGGGGAGCACCGACGTCTAGCTCTCCGCGCTGTCTGTATCATTCTGTACGTGGCTTGAGTTAGGCCTCCCAGAGCTGGTGGGGAGCAAACACTACACATGTACCGCCTGTACGGTTTTTAAATATAATCTACATTTGTAAGTTAAGGAGGTTTACATCAAAGCAAAACTAACTTTAAAAATTAATGAGTGCAATGCCTTAAGTTCCCTGGAACTTTTGGACTTTTTTTCCCCTATCAATTTGGTCTCTGTTGCAAAATTCGGCTTTAGTATGTGAGGCAGACTTTTGTCTGAGGTTGCATCGTTATTGCAACCTCAAATGTGAGTGTTTTGTCTAAAGTCTACTAACTCACTCATTTATTATCAGATAGCTGTACTTTGACAGCACCATCACTGAATCTTTGTGTTACAAGCATGACAGCAAGTGCTTTCCTAATTCTTCGAATAGTAACTATTGGTCCACGTGAGATATGTCTTCATTTATGCCATTTCCTGGGACAGGAAGTTTAGAAGGAAATGCTGTTCTGCCTCCTCTACTGGTTTTGCCCTGTTTCCTAGTGAACCTCCTTAAACTGCATGTATATGTCACTGTTCCTATGTATGTGTGTCTCTCTACCACATAACCCAGCACTTATTTCCTCAGCCAAGTGGCTAGGGGGCCAGCCTAGCCAAGATTTTATCTCCAATGGACGCAAGTTTCTTTGATGAAGATCTCTCCTGAGAGTTCGGGACTAGCAGAAAGAAGCGAGGAAATTTCGACCGTTTGGTTCTTACGGATAGGTATTTATGTATTCGGTTTGTGTGAATGTAAGCTATGATAGTTAACTTTTCAGAAAAAAAAATTATTATTTTTTTTTTGCAAGTGGCATTGAATGGTTGACCAAATCATACACGGTAAGAACTGCTAGTGAGGTGGATGTCATTTATGTTTTAAAGGAATATCTTCCTTTAATTAAATTTTATTGTGCTGTAGAAAGGAGTATAGACTTTGTTAAGTTAATTTGAGTTTAAAAGTAGGTGAGATATGACTAGCCATGTTAACTATAAATCTGAAAAGCCTTACGTTTGCTTTAATACTTGTATTTTATTATTTTAATTGGTAAGTATGTATGTAGAGTGTCACACACAATCAGCCCAGACAGTGACTTCTGTCTGCTGACCTGCACGTTCACATTACAGATATGATGGGCGTGGTCACCTGCATGACCTCTCTGCGTATGATGCTGAGTATGCCACCTGGAACCGAGACTACCAACTCTCTGAAGAGGAGGCGCGAGTAGAGGCGCTGTGTGATGAAGAGAGGTATTTAGCCTTGCATACGGACTTGCTTGAGGAGGAGGCCAGGCAAGGTACTGCTCAAGAAAGACTTACTTCTGCCACAACTTTTAAATTTTTAAGTATTTAAAAATTTGCTCCCATTCATTTTACTCACTCTTTCTGATATTATCTTGACAGTACCCAGTGGATTGGAAAAACGAGTCTTTGCGTTCTGAGAGGACCTCAGGATAGTTTATATGTAGAGCCACAAAGAATTTTCCCAGCTTTTGAGGGCAGACTGGGATTTGAAAAAAAAAAAAACAAAACAAAAAACAATCTCTTTAACTGTTCTTCTTTAACAGTATTGTATGAATTAAATTGATGTTCTTGTCTTTGCCTTAACGATCAATCTTTAATGCAGTTCTTAATCCCAAAGTTTTCTCAGCAGGAAGAAATTTTCCTTAAGAGACATGTATTCTATTTGTGGTAAATGTGTACTGGCAGAAATACATTTTGATAGCTAAAAAGTATGCGTTTTCAGAAACATTTTCACCTTGAAAAGAATTTGAAAAAAGTGTCATATACTTTTGTTGTTAGCTACAACTTTAGAAATGGTAAACTTCTAGTTTTATTGATAAAGTTCTCATTTTTATTCAAAGAGGAAGAATACAAGCGATTGAGTGAGGCGCTAGCCGAGGATGGGAATTACAGTGCTGTGGGGTTTACTTATGGCAGTGACTACTATGACCCATCTGAGCCGACCGAGGAGGAAGAGCCTTCCAAACAGAGAGGTGCGCTGGCTGTTGACATCATCGTGATTATAGTAGGCTACCTTCCTTTGGTGAAATAAAGCGAGAAACTAAAAAGTAAATTGTTCATGGAGATGAAAAATGGATTCAGATTTTTCTATACTGGATTCAAGTAGGGTTGTTTCTTTTTTTTTAATTATTCCTCTTTCTTAGTGATTTTGTGTTTGTGCTTTCCTGCGCTAACTCTGAAAGCTTTAATTTTTTAAAGAGTGCTGCCTAAAGTTGAAGCTCATTTACTACAAAGAGAACCCCATTGTCTTAGCCTCGCTGCTTTGATCACTTGTCAGTAGCAGTGATAGGAGTCTGGGTCACTTAAGAGGGGTCACTTATGTGCACATGTTCCATTTGCCAAAGAGAACTTGAACTTGGAGAAGTCATTCACATCCTGTGGACTTAAGACTGGGGAACCCTGTGACCCTTAGTCCTGCCAGTTGTACAAGGGTCCTTCCTGCCCGTGGCCAGACCCTTCCCCCTCAAGAGTTGTGTGGCATCAGAGCAGCATGTTGGGCAAGCAAAAGAGTCCTAGGCAGTCTGCTTTTGAGCCTGTAGACTTTCCTAGTAGACTTTCAAAGTTCATTAAGGAACATAAAACTTTCTGCATGGACTTTTTTTTTTTTTAATTGTTATGCTGTTTCTTGCTCAGGGCTTGAATTCAGGTTCTGAGCATTGTCCTGAGCTTTTTTGCTCAAGGCTAGCACTGACACCTGAACCATAGCTCCACGTCTGGATTTTTAGTTGTTCTTGATAAGAATTTCATGGACTTCCCTGCCTGGGCTGTTTTAAACCTGTGAAAGAGTCTCATGGACTTTCCTGCCTGGACTGGCTTTGAACTGTGATCCTCAGAGCTCAGCCCCCTGAGTAGCTAGGATTATAGGCGTGAGACACCTGTGCCTGGCATTCCAGAATAAAATTACCCTGTCCTAGTAGTCTGGGTTAGGTGAGCAACCCTTAACCACAAGTGCAGTTTCATAGATAGTTTTATTGGTGAATAAATGTGCTGCTTCATGCTGTCTGCTGCAGGTCTGCCTTGGCAGCAGGGTTGAGTGTCCCAGAGCTGACCGTATCTCCGTCTAGCATTTCAATTTGTCCGCTCTGTTCTAGATGTTGGATTGCTGCCTAGGTATAATTATCAGCGAAGTGATGATGAATAGTTACAGTTCTGATTTTCAAGACTATTAGTATAACTGTTTCTGTTCAAGTATACTTCCTCTTCACAAAGTTCTCTTTAGCAAATTTGGTTACTTTCTTTATAAAAATCATGCTCTCGACACTTTCCCTGTATCTTTTTCTTGTGTATGTGTAAGTGTATGTATGATTGTGGAATTGGGACTTCAGCTCAGGGACTGGGTGAACTCAGGCCTACGTGCTGCCCCTTAGCTTTTTTCAGTCACTTGAACTTTTTGCTGGTTAATTAGCGATAAGAGTCTCACAAACTTTTCTGCCTGGGCTGGCTTCAAATTACATACAATCCTCAGCTCTCCACCTTCTGAGTGGGTAGAATTATAGGCATGAGCCACTGGTGCCTGGCCCATGCTAAGTTTTTACAAAAATTGGGCTTTTTGTGTGTAACTATTTTAACTTGCACTAATGGTTTTCTGACCCAGCATCATATCTGTGTATTCCTTGATTCTCAGGCTCACAGTATTCTTGGCATTTCTTAATTAAATCCGTTATTCTAGTCAGCAAGGCCTTGGTGGGCCTGGTTTTGCCCATCAGTACCTGACTTCCCTCTCCCTTTTGGCAGCACACTGTTTTCAGTTGGTCTTGTCTTTTATATTCTATAACTTTCTATCATCGTATATACTGTTTTGTTCAACAAGAAAGGGCTGTTTGAATTTAGTTTGCGTTAAGTGTATATCGCAATGGCAGGTTTTTATTCTGTGCTACTAAGCCTGTTTTTCTGTAAGAATAGATAGAAGCTGGGTGCCAGGTGGCTCACACCTGTAAACCTAGCTACTCAGGAGTCTGAGATACGAGGATCACAGGATCACTATTGTGAATCGTGGGGCAGTGAACACGAATGTGCGGGTGTCTTTATCATATCCCGGCTCATGATGCTCAGGGTCGATGCCCAGGAGTGGTGTGGCTGGTTGTAGGGAAGGTCTGTGTTTCGTGTTCTGAGGACCTCCATGCTGCTGTCCAGTGTGGTTGTGCTAGTTTACATCCCACCAGCAGTGCAGTGGGGTTCCTTCTTCCTCACACCCCCACCAGCATCTGTTACGAATTCACAATGTTGGCCAGTCGAGCTGCGGTGAGATGGAATCTCAGAACTGTTTTGATTTGCATTTCCTTTATGGCCAGGCAGGATGAGCATTTCCTCGTGTGTTTGCCATTCTTACCTCCTCTTCTGAGAAGTCTTCCCTCAACCATTTAGTGATTGATTTATTAGGTTTGGGAGAGGTTAATTTCTTGAACTCCCTGTATATATTGGCTAGTAGGCTAAGGGACATTTTCCTATACTATACTGGCATTGTAAGCAACTTGTGTAGCACACAGACAAATGTTGTTCAGTGGCTGTAATGAATGAACAGAAATGGAAAAATACATCTGATTGTTTATGAAAAAAGAAAGAAAAAAAGCAGTGATAATGTTGCTTATGCGATCTCTTGACATTTTTTTAAATGCCCACGTGTTTTACAATTTGATTATTAAAATTGATTATACCACCAGGATCACATCTGTGATCCTCTATCTTTAGGAAATGAGATCTGATGATTGTAGTTTTAAGCCAGCCCATGCAGGGAAAGCCATGAGATTTTTATCCCCAATTATCACCAAAAAGCCATATAGCTCAAGTAGTAGAGCGCTAGCCTTGAGCATAAAAGTTCAGGGACAGTGCCCAGACCTACCCTGAGTTCAGGCCCGGGACTGGCCCATGCTCACACACACAGGCCCGTGCACATGCACGCGTGTGTGCCTACATACACACATAGACACACAGTGATAACCTGCTGGAAGGAGGTCTTGAAAAGCCAGTTCGTTAAATGCAGAAGTAAAAGCAACAGAGGGAAAAGCAGAACATCCATGTCCTGGCTAAGTGTCGAGCATCCTGCTCTGGTGGCCATGTCAGTGTCGAGCATCCTGCTCTGATGGTGATCTCCGTGGGGGCGGGCTTTCTCACTTGCACCTTGTTGGCATATATGTACCGGAGAGCTACACTGCATTGAGGGAGACACAGAAACTGCAGAGGTGCCAGGATCACAGATACATGCCCAGACTCTACAGCTGGGAACAGCAGGGCTGGAGCTCAGACTTCTGCCATGCTGCCCTTGTCTCTGGGAGGGTGAAATGAGGATTAGACACAGGGAGGTAGAGCAGGAAGTTGTGTTGGTGAACATTGCTCAGACATTTTATTTGTTTGCTTTAACAGAAAAGTCTGAGGCTGAAAATTTGGAAGAAAACGAAGAACCTTTCATTGCCCCTTTAGGATTGACTGTCCCGTCTGACGTGGAACTGGTATGTGTGTTTCTTCTCCATTCTCTGCCGGCGTTACTCTGTCTTCACCTTGGGTGCTGCACGTGCAGGAGGACTGTGCTCACCCAGCTGCTGTCCAGGCACGCCACGCCGCAGAGATAGCTGGGGGAAGCTTCACATTTACATGCTTTCCTCCACAAGGATGATGGAGTAAGCCGGGCGCCGTGGCTCACGCCCGTCATCCCGGCTACTCAGGAGGTTCAAAGCCAGCCGGGGCAGGAAAGCCCAATAAACTACTCAGAAAAAGCTGTAAGTGGCGCTGTGACTCGAGGGTAGAGCACTAGCCTTGAGCACAAAGAGGCTCAGGGACAGCGCCCAGGCCCTGAGTGCAAGCCCCAGAACCAACCGGGAAAAAGAAAAGAAGTAATAGCAAACTAACACATTGGGCCTGTTTGGGGGTGGTCTGGAGGGCACGTGACTTTCCCAGCATGGACCACCATGACAGAATCAGGTGCATGTATTGTCATCCACATGCAGACGTGAAAATGGCCATGCTCGAGGCAGCTTTGCTCATGACCATGTGCCTTGTTTCTCTCTGGCATGATTTTTGGGGGGGAGATGCTGTATCTTTGCCTAACATTTTTTGGGCAGTTTTTCTGTCATGATTTGTCCCTGTACATGTCTAGTCCACTCTTCTGCCTGTGAGAAAAGCCAATGTGGGACTTCTTGGTTAGGCTGCTTTGCAGCTGGTTACCGTCGGGACTGAGTCTCCAGTTCAGCCCTGATTTCTTGAGTTTCATCTTGTTGAATTGCAGTCGGTGTTAAAGCCAGTGCTGAGCTTTTTCTTTGTTTTTCGGAGTATTTATTGTGGGAATTCTGTATTCTAGTTTGTGTGCCAGGCTGCTCTTGGTGTATTTTGTATTTTCAAGGGGTGTTCACATGTGGGCGTTGCAGGGGTACACATGGATATGGATGTCAAGTGCTTGTGCTCAGCAGCAAAGGGTTTTTTCTTTGAGTTTGTTGTACCTGGGTTGCAAGTGCTGTCAGTAGAAAGATTTCAAGAGCGTGTTGATAGCCATCGTGCCAGTCACTGGGTGGACAGCTCTTCACAGACCCAGGGTCTGGCCCTCCCTCTGCTGCCCGCTGCCACCCTGGGCTCAGCCTTTTCTCCTTCCCTGCAGTATGTGGTGAAAGATACCAAAAACAGCCCTTTGAGTCCTTTCTCCCTTACTCATTTGCACATTCTCACCCCCGGGATTGAACTCAGTGCCTTGGACTTGAAAGGCAAGTACTGTACCACTTGAGCTAAACCTCCAGCTCCCTTTACTGTGGCCGTTTTCAAGTTAGGGTCTCATTTACGTTTGCTGGCCTGTGCCATAGCCCTCCGGCATCCCTGGGGGTGGCAGACTCATACCCTTAAACCAGCTTCTTTCTCTGTTTGTTTCCTTTTTTAAAACAAATATACTTAACTCTTTGGGTTTTTGTAATTACTACCTATGTTCGATTCTTTAGTTCCAACTTTTGGTCATTTTCTGTGGTTAAAGCTTCAAATATTATCTGGAGCCAGGCGCCAGTGGCTCACGCCTGCAATCCTAGGTACTCAGGAGGCTGATCTCAGTTCAAAGCCAGCCTGGGCAGGAACATCCATGAGACTCTTATCTCCAGTTAACCACCAGAAAACTGGAAGTGGCGCTGTGGCTCAAGTGGTAGAGTGCTAGCCTTGAGCTGAAGAGCTGAGGGACAGTGCCCAGGCCCAGAGTTCAAGACCCACAACCAACAAAAAAATATTATCTGGAGATTTGCTACAATGAGCCTTATATCGATATCTGTTCCGTGTATTATCATACTTGGTCTTCTTGTGTGTTCTGACCCATTGAAATAAAGCCTTAAATATTTTATCTGCTTCATTATATTTCATGCCAAAGCTTCACAGAGTTTAATTTCTATGCAAATATAAATGGAAAGGTACAATAGAATTTTGTTGGTATAATCCCTATTACAGTATTTAATGGTTATCCTCAGCCAAAGTAAAAATTAATAAACAATATGTCTGAGGTAAAATACCTGTCACTCAGTGGAGAGCACAGGCCTAGGTGTCCATTCCTTCCACCGGCAGTTTTGGAGGTATCCTTGAGTAAAGAGGCAAATGCGGAAGCCTACTTGAGAATCCGGCGAGTCTGGCTGGCCTCTTCCATTTCCTTCCTGGCAGTGTCAGAAATGCATCATATAAATCACGTCCTGTTGTCTGAGTCAAGTCACCAATGTTGAGTATTTTTGAGGGGACATAAGAATGGCTGAACTGGCCACACGGGCTGGTACCTCCGCAATGGAGAGGGCCCGCTCCTGTGGTTAGTTAGGCAGACACTGTAAGGAGCCCTTGGTTTAATCTGGCTTTGGGTTGGGGCCCTCCTTGTACCACCACGACAGACCCCACACAGCTTCTCCAGCAGTCTATTGAGCCTCTAGGTTCAGGCATTGTCAGGTGATCAGATGCCTCTTATTATTGATTCATAGTCTCCATGAGCATATGTTTCTCTTCCATGGGAAGTAGAGACCTATTCTTCCTCTAAGCATGTCATGTGTCTGACATGTACGTGCAGTTGGCTACCCATTTCCCAGGGTCTCAGAGCCCTTCTGTGGCCAGTCCTGAGTTCCCCACACAAAGCCAACTCCCCTGTTCCACCTGGGTGGGTGTGCCATGCTGGAGCCATCTGGTACTTGCAAGCAGTTACTACTGCTCACTCAAGTGGCAGAGGTGAGCAGTATCTGCCAGGTGCCCGTGGTAACCTGGACCCCTATTTGTCTAGTGCTGTTTCACTTGCCTCCCAGAGCACAAGCCCCTAGGGCACCAACCAAGGATATGGCCCTTAGACTACGGAAGAAAGGAGAGAACTGAGGCTCCACGGGAGCTGCTGTTAGTTCACATTTCAGACTGTTCAAATAAAGTAAAGGCTTAGTAAGCTCTCACTAAGCACACGCCCTCTCTCCCAGGCATTGTACGGTTACTCTGTGCTCTTCTTTCAGTTGATATTTAGCAATTGTGACAGATGGGTTCCATAATTACCTGCCTTCCAGAGGGGAGCACACTGAGCTCTGAGCTGCCGCCGGGCCGGTAGGGTCAGGTCCGCGTCCTAGCCAGTGGCTGACTGGAGCGCTGAGACCCTCTGGTTCAGTGTTGCTGAGCGTTACCCAAGTTTGCTTGCACCGTGGCTTTCAGGCTGTTGCCCTGTATGGACAGAAGAGAAAAGAAGCTAATATGCCCTGCCCTCTTGCAGAGGTGTCCTTTCTTGTGGTGTCTGATGGGGGAGCCTTTGGCTACTTTGGTCTTGCAAAAGCCTTTCTAGGAGCTGTGTCATTTTACTGTGTATGCCATTCCCCTTGAGGCTGCAGAGTTGTAAGCATAATACTTGGAAGACCTTTCCTGTTCTGAAGAAGTGGGGAAAAATTTCCTAGTATTCCTGCTAATGTTTCTATAGTTTCGCGTGCACACTTGAGTTGTGACAGAATCTGGTGCTTGTTGGGCCTATGGAAAAAGGCAATTAGTTCATCTCTCCCCTTTGGAGGACCAGAGGCCCGGAGCCTGCCCTGGGGCTTCTTCCTCATTTCCCATCTTCCCCTCTCCTTCCTTGTTCACCCCGCTAGATGTGAGTCCAGAGCTTCCCAGAGCTCTCCTTTTGTCTAGTGCTCTTCCTTGAGCTTGAAGCCATGGTGATGGAGTTTGAAGGTGTGAGGAGGTAGTGGTACTTGGCTTAATAGACTTCCCTTAGCTCACAGGGCTTCTGCGTGGGATTAGACTAGAAAGACGTTTACCAGACAGTCTTTATAATAACTTGGGCATGCTTACCTGTGGACTGACTTGGTTTGGTTTGGTTTGGGTGCTGGGTCGTGTGTGTGTGTGTGTGTGTGTGTGGTGTGTGTGTGTGTGTGTGTGTGCATTCTGCCACTGAGCTACAGTCTTGTGTGTGTGTGCATTCTGCCACTGAGCTGCGGTCTAGTGTGTGCATGAGTGTGCTGTAACTGAGCTGCGATCTCCTGTGTGTGTGTGCGTGCACTCTGGAACTGAGCTGCGGTCTAGTGTGTGCATGAGTGTGTTCTGTAACTGAGCTGCGATCTCCTGTGTGTGTGTGTGTGTGTGTGTGTGTGCATTCTGCCACTGAGCTGCGGTCTAGTGTGTGCATGAGTGTGTTCTGTAACTGAGCTGCGATCTCCTGTGTGTGTGTGTGCGTGCGCTCTGGAACTGAGCTGCGGTCTAGTGTGTGCATGTGTGTGTGTGTGTACATTCTGCCACTGAGCTGCGGTCTAGTGTGTGCATGAGTGTGTTCTGTAACTGAGCTGCTATCTCCTGTGTGTGTGTGTGTGTGTGCATTCTGCCACTGAGCTGCGGTCTTGTGTGTGCATGAGTGTGTCCTGTAACTGAGCTGCGATCTCCTGTGTGTGTGTGCGTGCATTCTGCCACTGAGCTGCGGTCTTGTGTGTGTGTGTGCATTCTGTCACTGAGCTGCAGTCTAGTGTGTGTGTGTACGTGCATTCTGTCACTGAGCTGCACCCCACACTTCCTAACCCAGGGTCTCGTGTGTGTGTGTGTGTGTGTGTGTGTTTATGCGCGCGTGAATGTATATGCGTGCGTGCGCTCTGTAACTGAGCTGCGGTCTAGTGTGTGCATGAGTGTGTTCTGTAACTGAGCTGCGATCTCCTGTGTGTGTGTGTGTGTGCATTCTGCCACTGAGCTGCGGTCTTGTGTGTGCGTGCATTCTGCCATTGAGCTGCACCCCACACTTTCTAACCCAGGGTCTCGTGTGTGTGTGTGTGTGTGTGTGTGTGTGTGTGCATTCTGCCACTGAGCTCCGGTCTTGTGTGTGTGTGTGTGCATTCTGCCACTGAGCTGCGGTATTGTGTGTGCGTGAGTGTGTTCTGTAACTGAGCTGCGATCTCCTGTGTGTGTGTGTGTGTGCATTCTGCCACTGAGCTGCAGTCTTGTGTGTGTGTGAGTGTGTTCTGTAACTGAGCTGCGATCTCCTGTGTGTGTGTGTGTGTGTGCATTCTGCCACTGAGCTGCGGTCTTGTGTGTGCGTGAGTGTGTTCTGTAACTGAGCTGCGGTCTCCTGTGTGTGTGTGTGCATTCTGCCACTGAGCTGCGATCTCCTGTGTGTGTGTGTGTGTGTGTGTGTGTGTGTGCGCGCGTTATGCCACTGAGCTGCGGTCTTGTGTGTGCATGCATTCTGCCACTGAGCTGCACCCCCATACTTCCAAACTGCGTCTTAAAATGTCATTGTATAATAGGGATATTCATGTCATTAAATGAAGAGAAATTGTCTAAGATCTGCATAACATAGAATGTCTTTTTCCAAGCCAGATTTTTTTCCCCTGTGCTGGTACTAGAACTTGAACTCCAGGCCTTGAGGTCATGCTGGGTTTTTTTGCTCATAGCTGGTGCTTTATCATGTAAGCCATGTCTCAACTTCCATCAAGCCAGATACTTTAATCTCACGTTTCCTGGTAGCAGATCTTGGAATGTATTCATAGATGCTTTGCTTTTGTGCAGTCGTTTCTTTGTAAAATTACCTACATGTGGCATTATAATGATTGTAGTCATATTAGATGATTAATAGGCCTACTCTTAAGGCTTTTAAGACCTAAAAGTTGATTGGTTCACAAAGAGCATGCACTGTGTGGGATTGTGTTTTCCCTTGAGTGTAATTATTCTGAATTGATTGTTAATCATTGATGTGTTTATGGAATGGGCTGCTTAGAAATGAACCTTTCTATGTAGCCAAAGCCAATGAAATTCTACATCAGGGTCCATATTTCAGGACTCAGTGGGCCTTTAACATAGAACTTAATTTGTTTGGGAGTCTAAATAAGTTTAATAGTACATGTTTACCCATTTCAGTGTGAAGGACATTATTTATTCAGAAATTAAGTTTGAGAATTAAGCCATTTGTAATTTCAGGATGAGACACTGAAATTACAATAAGCATCTTCGGTGTTTAACTGCCCATTTTTAATGAGAGTAATTTTCAGTTTCATTCCCATATAATTTCCTAGTATTACTCTCTTTGTTGTTACTAAAAGTATTTTTAGACATGTGGCTTGTAGTTTTTGGCCTAACAAGTTCTGTTTGTGACCACATGATGTGGTGGAAATAGCTCTGGAGCCAAAGTAAAAGGAAGAGGCACGGGTTTGTGGCTGTAGTCAGAGGCCTCACTACCTGTAGTGCCTTCCCACCTGCTCCAGCCAGGCCACACCTGGACTGCCTTTGGTTTAGCACACAGTTTTAACTAGGACTGGCAGTGAGATGGAGCCTTAAACTGTGTTTTATAGGAAGCAGACACAAGGAAGGGGGTGAGTGCGGAGGAGGAGGAGGAGTGAGCTCATGGATTTGTTTGGATGTTCAAAGTGCTGTTTAGTGGAAGGGAGCCTTCCATGTCTTGGAGAAGTGTTGAAATGTATCTACCCATAGAAAAATACATATGTGTTTATAAACTTCAGGAACCCACTGAAGTCCATTCTTGTGTCTGAGTTAGTAGGAAGATGCGAACTCCGTGCACTGAAAGGCCAGCTTCTCCACACTCTTTAAGATGCAGTGCCTGCCCTCGTGGACGTGAGGTCTGGACAAGATGGTGTACTACAGGAGAGTTCTAGAACTAGACCTGGGCAGGATGGTGTTCTACAGGGATGATGCTAGACCTGGGCAGGCTGGTGAACTACAGGGATGGTACTAGACCTGGACAGGATGATGTACTACAAGTTAGTACTAGACCTGGGCAGGATGGTGTACTACAGGGATGGTACTAGACCTGGACAGGATGATGTACTACAGGGATGGTACTAGACCTGGACCGGATGATGTACTACAGGACAGTACTAGGCCTGGACAGGATGATGTACTACAAGTTAGTACTAGACCTGGACAGGATGGTGTACTACAGGGATGGTACTAGACCTGGACAGGATGATGTACTACAGAGATGGTACTAGACCTGGACCGGATGATGTACTACAAGTTAGTACTAGACCTGGGCAGGATGGTGTACTACAGGGATGGTACTAGACCTGGACAGGATGGTGTACTACAGGACAGTACTAGGCCTGGACAGGATGATAGACTGCAAGGATAGTACTAAACTTCTCCTTAGCAGAAATGTCATTTATGTCTTAAAATGGACCATAAAACCAGGGCTGTTTCTGACTTTTAAGTAAGTCATGTGACCAGCGGAAAAGAAGACAAACTGACCACATGCCTGTGTGTGTTTTCTCATAGCCACCAACAGCCAAAATGCATGCCATCATTGAGCGTACAGCCAATTTTGTATGCAAACAGGGGGCACAGTTTGAAATAATGCTGAAGGCCAAGCAGGCACGAAACTCGCAGTTCGACTTCCTACGCTTCGATCACTACCTCAACCCATACTACAAATTCATCCAGAAAGCTATGAAAGAAGGACGATACACAGTGCTGGCAGAAAACAAGAACGAAGAGAAAAAAAGTACACGAACCTGTTCTATCCCATTCAGACTTTGGGCCGGGGGTCGGGTGAGGGGAGTATGGGAAAATATGGAAATCTTCCTTTTCAAAGATAGAGAATTGAAATCTAGATTAGAATTCTCAGTGTTTGTGAAATCCTGTGACAAGGCTTGATAATTAACCCTGCTGGTGTACCATATTGAATTCTCAGTTAATATTTCACAGATGGGTGAAATATAATTAAATATCGATGCCATCCTAACATAATTAGCTAGGCTGGGCATTTTCCCTCTCATTTCGGCTGCTTAACATTTAATAGAGAAAGCAGGGAGTGTTTTTCTTTGGCAGAGTATTCTACAAGTGTGTCTGCTTGCATCATTGTTAAGGGGCCATGAAGTTAAATTATACGTGTCCACAGAAATGAAAGTGGTGCGTTGTACTTGGTCAAGCCTCTTTCTGTGTGTGTGTTGCCTTGAATCTTGTTCTCTTCAGCTGAGGTCAGATGTTTCACTTCAGTTGTGTACATTCATACACATACGCCAGTGCGAGGGATAGAATCCAGGGCCTGACATGCTAAGCAAGCACTCCACCACCGAGCTGTGCCCAGCCCATTTGTATAAATCTTAATGCTGGTTTTATTTTCTCCAGCTTCCCTATAGGGTATCTGTCCCCTCGGGTTAATATTACTTTTCATGAATCTGTAAGGTTTTTGCCCTTTAAGTTTTTTCCTGGTTTCAACTCAGACGCACTTGCGTGGCTAGCTTAGTTCGCTCAGCTAATTTTCTGCCATTTGAGTCATTCCTCTATCCCAGCTTTTTTGCTGGCTAATTTGGAGATGGAGTCTCACAGATCCTCCACCCCCACCCCCCCTTCCCCGGGCTAGCTTCAAACCCTGATCCTCAGATCGCAGCCTCCTGAGCAGCTAGGATTCTCTGCATGCGCCACCAGCGCCCAGATGCCTATTTTAGTGCCTCTAGGCTAGGGACTCCCTAAAGGGAGTCTGTGAAGTGGTTGAGGGTCACACTTCATTTCCTCTTGGTCTTTTTTCTGAACAACTTCAAGGAATAAGTAATATTATCCACAGGTTTTGTGGACAGATTTCTTGGTTAAGAAATAATAACATGATGCAGTAGCCTGCCCTTGTCTGTTTCTGGGGTTTTTGCAGCATGTATTCTTTTTTCACTACCAAAATTTTTAGTATGATTTTAATGGTACATATTTTTATTTCAGAGTCAGGTCCAAACTCTGACAATGAGGATGAGGATGATGAGGAAGATGGGAGTTATCTGCACCCATCTCTCTTCGCTTCCAAAAAGAGCAGCCGCCTTGAAGAGCTGATGAAGGTCTTTGTTTCATTGTTACCTGTATGTTTTTATGGCATAACAAATTTGCTGCCAGTTTAAGTTTGGAAAATACTGAGCATGGTGTTTCTTGTGTGTTTCAGCTGTAATTTGATTGTTTTTGAGATGTCTTGTACATTTTTGTGTTGGGCTTGGTGACAGAGCATTTGTTTTCTGCACATACATATTAATAAATTTCACAAGCAGATTATTTTTCTACCTAGGATACTTAGAATAAGTAGAAATTTAGTGAAGACTTGGAACTGGTTTTGCCATGTAGACTTCATTGCAGAATTAATGCTTTTTTGAGTGTTCAGAACATCTGCTCAGTCATTTTAAGTATGGCTTGATGTGTGTTTTTTCTATTAGTGGTATTGGGGGTATACCTTGGGGCTCACTGCCTCCTAAGCAGGTGCTCTACCACTTGAGCCGTGTCTCCAGCCCCTTCCCCAGGTGTATTTACTTCTGACGCTCCCCTCATCCTTAGGAAGAAATCCACCATTTGTAATATGAAAAGCAGAAGTCTGTGAGGTTTAAACAAACTTTCAGCAACCATACAAGTTTGTCTGGCCTGTATAGGGAATGCCTGATGGGTGGATAAAATCTGTTTACTAGAAATCAGAAATTCCTTGGAGGAAGGACGGAATTTCAAGTTGACTTGAACAATCTTCTCCTTCCTGTGATTATCCGCACTTTGAAGTTGAGTCTTTTGCAACGAGAGGGTTGTATGTGGTTCAGAACACCGTCTTCTCTGTCCCTAGCCCTTAAAGGTGGTGGACCCAGATCACCCCCTGGCAGCCCTTGTCCGAAAAGCACAAGCTGACAGCTCTGCCCCCACGCCACACACCCCAGATGGGGCCTCCACGCAGCCCTCACAGGTGGAATACACGGCCGACTGTGAGTACCCACGGGGTGTGTCCTGATTGTGAGCACCCACGGGGTGTGTCCTGACTTGGGAGGACCCTTGAGTATATCCTGACTTGGGAGGAACCTTGAGTGTGTCTGATTGTGAGCGCCCACTGAGTGTGTCCTGACTTGGGAGGACCCTTGAGTGTGTCTGATTGTGAGCACCCACTGAGTGTGTCCTGACTTGGGAGGACCCTTGAGTGTGTCTGATTGTGAGCACCCACTGAGTGTGTCCTGACTTGGGAGGACCCTTGAGCGTGTCTGATTGTGAGCACCTACTGAGTGTGTTCTGATTGGGAGGACCACTTACTTGCATCCAGATCTCAGTTCCAGAGTATACTCCCTTGACTCTGGAGCTAACTGGCCAGATCTTAACTTGAAAGAGATGACCAGGTCATCTGTTTGGCTGGACCCTGTGGCCAGAGAGCTGCTCTGTCCCAATGTCAACTAGGAAGGAAGAGTAGGGTCAAAGGTAGACAGGTTGTGCCAGCCAAAGATGCCCCTCTGTGTCACCTTCCAGCTGCTTCTTCTAGCCCATCATTGGCTAATATCTCAAGGTCTTCCTTGCCTGTGGTGGAGGCAGCGAGGGGGTCTGCGGTTGAACACATTGCTGCCCTAAACGAAGACAGAGCTCTGTGAAGAAGAGTGGGGAGCACAGATTCTGGAGAGCTGGTCTTGTCTGTGCTAGACACAATTTTGTGGTAATGTGAGACTATTAGAATTGACATGTAAGATTGAGTGGACATGGTTCTGTTAACAACAGAGAGAGCCAGGCACCAGTGCCTCACACCTGTAACCCAAGTTACTTAGGAAGCCGAGACGAGACTCTTGTCTCCAGTTAACCGTCAGCATGGCTCAAGTAGTAGACTCCAGTTGGGAACACAAAAAGCTGAACAAGAGCTCAGGCCTGAATTAACCCTAATGCTGGAAGGGTGGTGGATAAGAACTGAGAAGGCAGGTTCTGGCTAGACACATGATTGCTGTCACTAAGACCTAAGAACAAGGTCCTCAGGGTACCTGCAGGACGATTCCAGGACCACTGACAGGTACCAAAACCATGGGTGCTCAACTCTTCTCCCATGGGTTTAAGTCATCGCTGGATGACTTAGGGCAGCTAATGCAATGTGAATGCCTGGTGAGCAGCTGTTATATTGTACCGTTAATACTGTTAAAGCAATAATGATGGAAGTTTGCACGGAACAGATGAAACTTTTCCCATGAATATTTTCAACCCAAGGTGGGTAGAATTGTGGGTATCGAGCTGGAGGAGACAACTTTAATAGGCACTGCAGAATTACATTTATTTTGATTCTCTTATCTTTTTAATGACTTGAAGTTATTAACTGACTGTAAACCTTGATGTATGTGTTCAAGCAGTCACTTGAAGCGAGGGAAGAGCCTTTAGCATACCAGTGTGGTCTTCCGTGCTCCCCTGCAGGGGAGGTGCTCTTCCCACCAGGCAGGTAGTCGGCTGGGGCATGGTGGCCAAAGAGGAAGCAGCCCAACTTCTGCTTATCTGCATCTTTCTTTGGCGCCAGTCCAGTGGCTATAGGGAGCTAGTGGGTGTGAATGGACCGTCCCTCTGACTAGAACATGTCCAAGACAGGTTTTGACAGAAGAAACAGGAAGCGTGCGGGTGCCGCAGGTGGAACTGTCTTCTGTGTGGCAGGCAACCAGATGGAGTGCAGGCCGCATGACGGTGTCTGCCTGTTGGCAGTGTTTGTTGTGCCGCAGTGGACGCTTAGACCCTGCAGGGTCAGGTGGACGGAACAGGCTGAGTGTGGCCACTCTGTGATGCATCCACGGCCCGGTGGAGACAGTGACTGGAGCCAAACCATGATAGTATGAACATCCCAGGGCTGTGTGTTTGAGAGTGCGTGGTAGGGCTCCCTGGCCAAGATAAGCTGCAGAGCCTCGGTCCGACCCAGGGGCACACAAGCCAGCCCTGAATCCTCCTCCTCCCTCAAGCCAGGCCTTGAATCCTCTTCCTCCTCCCCTTCTTCCTCCCCTCCCTCCTCCCCTTTTTTTATACACTGAGGGAAGGACATGTGGGAAAAAGGGCTTTTTGTAGCCAAAAAACGTTCACCCTATTTTCAGCAGGCATGCTTGACATGAGGTTTGTGAAGTTCAGATACTCACTCCTGCATCAGCTCCTGAACCACTCCAAGATGAACAGCATTATAGTTCATTGTTCCCAGCGTACTGTTCTTCATTTTCTAGATCTTTCCAAATGTATGTTGCTTATACCGTGTGTGTGTGTGTGTGTGTGTGTGTGTGTGTGTGTGTGTGTTTGTGTGTGTGTGCGTGCGCGCGCACCAATCCTTGGGCTTGAACTCAGGGCCTGCTGCTGCCCCTGAACTTTTGTGCTAGCACTCTACCACTTGAGCCACAGCTCCATGTCTGGCTTTTTGGTGGTTAATTGAAGAGTCTCATGGAGCCAGGTGCCAGTGGCTCACCCCTGTAATCCTAGCTACTCAGGAAGCTGAGATCTGAGGATCATGGTTTGAAGCCAGCCCATAAGACTTATCTGCAATTAACCACAGAAAAAGTTATAAGTGATGTTTTGTTCAAGTAGTAGAGTGTTAGCCTTGAGCAAAAAGGAGCTTAGGGACATCACCCCCAGATCCAGGGTTCAAGGCCCAGGACTGGCCAAAAAAAAAAGGCTCACAGACATTTCCTGCTGGGATCTGTCTTCAAACCATGATCCTCAGATCTCAGCCTCCTAAGTAGCTAAGATTACAGGTAAGAGCCACCAGCCACATTAGCCTGTGGGTTTTTTGGTGGTGGTGGTGGTGTTTTTGCCAGTCCTGGGGCTTAAACTCAAAGAGGCCTGGGCGCTGTCCCTGAGCTTCTTTTGCTCAAGGCTAGTACTCTACCACTTGAACCACAGCACCACTTCCAGCTTTTTCTGTTTATATGGTACTGAAGAATGGAACCCAGGGCTTCATGCATGCTAGGCAAGCACTCACCACTAAGCCCCATTCCCAGCCCCTGGCCTGTGGTTTTAATATGTTGTTTCAGGAGTACTTTCTTTTTTTTCCAAATTTTTTATTGTGATTAAGTAGTTACGTAATTTCCCAAATTTCACAGTGCTGTGGGATAGTGATGCTCAGTTAAAGTCACAAACACATTCTGACTGTCCTGGAGCAAATTGTCTATCACGATCTATAACATGTATGAGTTCTAAGAGCTTTGCGATACAGTTATTTCTTCCACATTGGGTGATACGTACATTTCTTTTGTTTTGCATAGCATTAGCTGTTCCCTCTTTCCCACTTGTTCCCTCCCTCCGTTGCTGCCATTGAGTTGCTTAGTTAATTTTGGTCAATGTCCAGTGCAGCTGATGGGTCCCGCTGTTATATGTTTTTCCCTGATTCCCTCTAGTTCTGTGTCGTCCTCCTGGTTTCCCTTCGGTGTACACATATATATCATACATGTGATCAGCAGCATGGGGTTATTTATTAGTGTTTCAACCAGATGAGTGGAAGTCCTTTGTTTCTTAAGTCCTGTTAATTTTGTTGTATCACCTAACATTTTGGATTTAACATCCACTTATCAGGGAGACCATGTACGTTTGTCTCTTTGCTCTTGGCTTACCTTGCTCAACATGATTCCTTCTAGCTTCATCCATTTCCCTGCAAATGCCATTATTTTGTCATTTCTAATGGCTGCATAATATTCTATTGTGTTTAAATACCACAATTTTTGGATCCATTCATCTGTGGTGGGGCATCTGGGTTGTTTCCATATCCTAGCTATTGTGAACAGTGCTGCAATAAACATGGAGGTGCACCTGTCCTTGTATACTGGTTCCTGTTGTTCAGGGTAGATGCCTAGAAGTGGTATGACTGGGTCGTAAGGGAGGTCAATCTTTAGCTTTCTGAGGACCCTCCAGACTGCTTTCCAAAGTGGTTGTATAACTGTACATTCCCACCAGCAGTGTAATAGGGTTCCTCTTTCTCTGCATCCCCTCCAGCATTTGTCGTTGGCTGACTTGAGGATGTGGGCCATTCTGAATGGGGTAAGGTGGTATCTCAGGGTTGTCTTTATTTGCATTTCCTTCATAACCAGGGATGGTGAACATTTCCTCATGTGTTTCTTTGCCATTTTTATCTCTTCTTCTGAGAAGTCTCTCTTTAGTTCCCTTGCCCATTTAGTAATTGGTTTGTTAGGTTTGGGAGGGATTAGTTTCTTGAGTTCCCTGTATATACAGGATGTTAGCCCCTTGTCTGATATTGTTGGTATCAGGAGTGCTTTGTCAGCCTATTTCTGTAGAGCTTGCACACAGCCTGGCCCTGCCGCATCTGCATTCCCTCTGCTGCAGTCCCACTGGTGTTCACTAGTCCCAGGGCATACTCTGACACTCCTTGTGATTTACTTTCTACCAATATGGCAGGCTGGGAAGACCATCTATTTTTATTCTAAAGGATTTTTTTCTTAACCAGATGCCCATGGCTTATACCAGTAATCCTATCTACTCAGGAAGCTGAGATCTGAGGATCACAGTTGGAAACCAGCTCTCAGCAGGAAAGTCCATGAGATGCTAACCACCAAAAAGCCAGAAATAGAGCTGCGGCTCAAATGGTAAAAACTCTCAGGGACAGTGCCTGGTCCTTGAATTCAAGCCCAGGATCAGCCAGCTCATGCATGTACACACATACATGCACACATGTGCACACAAGTGTCTTCTAGAAGCTCTTTAGATATAGATAAGTAAAATTAGCAATTTCCATTTTTTAGCCTTACAGTAAGTTATTTCAAAGCTTTTTATTTTTTATTATTTGTCTTCTGCTGTTCAGCAATAAATTCTTGCAGAAAAGGATAATAAGATCATCCTGGAGGCAGCAATGGTAACGTGCTGCCCATTGTATAGCTCACAGTGATTTTGTAATGGTACAGTGCTTTATTCTAAAAAGGATAGAAGTGAAAATTAAATCATTTCTTGTGGCTAGATTAGATTTTTTTTTCTTGTTTTGCAGTCTTTTAAGTGTGCCTTTTCTGTTGGTTATGGCATTTTCTTTTTAAAAATAACTTCACTGTAAGTCAGGAAAGGAAGAGAAGAGAGGACAGGCAAGGAAGTAAATGCACTGGCATCCTTGGTGTTCGTGTTAGGAAGGTAGAAATGAAGTGGCCCTTATCACCAGAAAGAAGGGAGAGCCCTGGCTAGGGACTGGAAGGCCTTCTTTATAAGACTGCCCCTGAGAGACTCGTGCCTGAGATAGGAATCAGCAATAGTCTGAAGTCACAGTGAAGTAATGGCTGAGCTGCAAGTAAAAATTTGTTTCATAATTCAAGAATTCAGCCCTGAAAGACCTCTTTATGGAAGAATAGAAGATGTGGAGCACATTAAGAGGTTATAATTGTTTTTTAGTTACTTTTTTTTTTTTGGTCGGTCATGGGCTTGAACTCTGGGCCTGGGCGCTGTCCCTCAGCCCTTCAGCTAAAGGCGAGTGCTCTACCACCTGAGCCACAGCGCCACTTCCAGTTTTCTAGTGGATAATTTGAGATCAGAGTCACAGACTCTCCTGCCCGGGCTGGCTTTAACCGCGATCCTCAGATCTCAGCCTCCTGAGTAGCCAGGGTGACAGGTGTGAGCCACCGGCGCCCGGCTTGAGTTTCATACTCAGCACTGTTGACTGTGAAACTAGAGGAGATTGGTCCTTGTAAAGTATCTTACCTGAATGTTAACTTCCTTAGCCATAAAGGAAATGCAAGCTGGACAGCGCGCAGGCCCAGAGTTCAAGCCCCAAGACCGACCAAAAAAAAAAAAAGAAATGCAGAGAGAGATCCAATTCAGATGGCTCCCATCAGCCGAAGGTGTGGCTCAGTGGTTGTATGGCTGCCCAGCAAGTCCAGGCACCATACCAGCATACACTGTACCCTGATATACTGCACAAAAAGACATGTAAATTGTGTCTCCAGTATGGAGATTTATCGTAGGTTCCTCATATTAAGAGTAGAACTTGTTCAAGGTCCTTCCGTACCACTCTGGACATATATGGAGGAATGAGCACCCCACAGAGACCTGCACAGCCCTGTGGTGTCACAGCACACCTTGCACAGTAGCCAGCCTGTGCCAGCCATCAGCCTAGATGCTCATCTGTAGATGAGTGAGCAGAGAAAACACAACATAGACATGCATACCCACATTATGTAGTATTGTTCAGCCATTAAATTATGCCTTTTGTAGGAAAAATAGATGGAGGCAAGCCAGACTTGGACAGATACCACGCTTCCAAGTATGTGAAAACTAGACCTAAAGGCGTGATAACTACGGGGTAGTAGGAGGTGAATGGTCAAGTTACATTATATGCATGTATAGAAATAACGCAGACCCCCCCACACATTGCTAATAAAAACTTGGAAAAATAAAATAACTTCCGTGCTTGGGGATGGCTCAGTGCATTGGGTCCTGTATTTCATTCCCAGACCCCATGGAAAACAAACCTTACCTTCCTTTCTCCCCTTGAAACCAGAGGTTTGGGGCCCTTGGCCCAATCTGTAGACATGTCAGATCCACATCACTTATATACACCTAATAAACAGACTGCAGTAAACCTTCAGCTCTCTCCAAGGTACAGACATGAGTGATAATTAGAGAGGGAACTGGGCAGGAAGAGGTCCCGGGTCTGGATGTGGTCTGGTCCGCCGGGATTTCAGTCTTTGTCTCTGGGGTTTCAGAGGTTGAGGCCAGCAGGACAGCGCCCGCTCCTGGCAGGTGTCTATCCCGGCCTTTGGCTGTTTTCTTCCTTTGGGGCAGTTTCCCCTCATGTCTCAAGATGGTAAGCAGCCCCAGTCTAGGGAGAAGCTCTGAACGTCCCTCCCACTTCCCGTAACTTCATTGTCTATGTACCACTGTACTTTTAGAAAACATCTCTCTCTGGTTCACTGGAGTCAGGTTTTGCTTGCTCAGTAAGTACGTGTATCAGAATAATATATTGATCTGTCTTCAAACCTTACCCCAGTCAGGAATGGTGGTGTGCACCTGTGGTCCCAGCCTCTCAGAAGACTGAGGGCCGAGGGATCGTGTGCACTGGGTATCGGAGTGGCTGGGGATGCAGAGGAGACGCCATGTTTGATTCTTGTGTGTCTTACAGCGACTGTGGCTGCCATGTACTACAGCTACTACATGTTACCAGATGGCACCTATTGCCTGGCGCCGCCGCCTCCAGGAATTGATGTAGCCACCTACTACAGCACCCTTCCTGCTGGAGTGACCGTGTCCAGCTCCCCCGGAGTGACCACCACCGCCCCGCCGCCTCCTGGAACCACGCCTCCTCCCCCGCCCACCACAGCTGAAGCAGGCAGTGAGGTGACCACCACGACAACGACCACCACAAGGTGTGTGTGCTGTGTGCTGTCCCTACCACAGGGCCCTGTGTCCACGACCACCACAAGGTGTGTGTGCTGTGTGCTGTCCCTACCACAGGGCCCTGTGTCCACGACCACCACAAGGTGTGTGTGCTGTGTGCTGTCCCTACCACAGGGCCCTGTGTCCACGACCACCACAAGGTGTGTGTGCTGTGTGCTGTCCCTACCACAGGGCCCTGTGTCCACAACCACCACAAGGTGTGTGTGCTGTGTGCTGTCCCTACCACAGGGCCCTGTGTCCACCACCACCACGGCTCTGTGTGCTGTGTGCTGTCCCTACCACAGGGCCCTGTGTCCACGGCCACCACGGCTGTGTGTGCTGTGTGCTGCCCCTACCACAGGGCCCTGTGTCCACGACCACCACAAGGTGTGTGTGCTGTGTGCTGTCCCTACCACAGGGCCCTGTGTCCACGACCACCACGGCTCTGTGTGCTGTGTGCCCGTCACCCCAGGGTGCATAGGGAGCGGTTACCGCCCCTGTGTTGTGGGTGTGGAGACCTTGTTGTTGCCGTTGTTTACGTAGTTATTGCTCAGATCCCCAAGTTACACACCTGAGACCCTTATAAAAGTCCATATAAAAGCTGAGCGTGATGATGTGCTCCTGGAATCCCAGCCTTTGGGAACTGATGCAGGGAGGGTTACACATCCCAGGCCAGCCTGGGCTGTGTAGCAAGTTGGGAGACAGTCTGGGTTTGAGTTTTCTCAAAAAAGTAAATCTTTAACTTGGTAGTGCTTGGGTTTGGCCTCAAGACCTAGCATTTCCTGGGCAAGCACTCTTGTCACTGAGTCACACCTCCAGACCTGTTTTTCACAAGTTATTGTCAAGATAGGGTCTTGTTCCTCGCTGGAGGTTGCCTGGACGCTTGAACTTGGTGCTGTAGGCTTTCTGTTGTTGCTAGGATGACTGGCACCTACCACCACATCCATCTCTGTTGAGCTGGAGTCTCACTGACCATGCTGCCCAGACTGATGGACCCTCCAGGATGTCCGCCACTGAGCCCAGCTGAGTTCAGGAGGGGTCTCACGCTGTTCTTCCCAGGCTGGCTGTGAAGCACCATCCTCACTTTCAGCCTCCCAAGTAGCTAGGGTTACAGGTGTGAGTTGCCTCTCTCAAGCTAAGAAAAGACTTTTTAGCAATGCAGTGTAGCCTTTTGTAAACATGACTCCCATGCAACATCCCACACATGCACATCCATTGTGCGCCTCTCCTTGTGCAGTGCCCCAGCACCTCAGCTGATCACACCGTGCCCCAGCACCTCAGCTCATCACACAGTGCCCCAGCACCTCAGCTCATCACACAGTGCCCCAGCACCTCAGCTCATCACACAGTGCCCCAGCACCTCAGCTCATCACACTGTGCCCCAGCACCTCAGCTGATCACACAGTGCCCCAGCACCTCAGCTCATCACACAGTGCCCCAGCACCTCAGCTCATCACACAGTGCCCCAGCACCTCAGCTCATCACACAGTGCCCCAGCACCTCAGCTCATCACACAGTGCCCCAGCACCTCAGCTCATCACACAGTGCCCCAGCACCTCAGCTCATCACACAGTGCCCCAGCACCTCAGCTCATCACACAGTGCCCCAGCACCTCAGCTCATCACACAGTGCCCCAGCACCTCAGCTGATCACACTGTGCCCCAGCACCTCAGCTGATCACACCGTGCCCCAGCACCTCAGCTCATCACACTGTGCCCCAGCACCTCAGCTGATCACACAGTGCCCCAGCACCTCAGCTCATCACACAGTGCCCCAGCACCTCAGCTCATCACACCGTGCCCCAGCACCTCAGCTCATCACACAGTGCCCCAGCACCTCAGCTGATCACACAGTGCCCCAGCACCTCAGCTCATCACACAGTGCCCCAGCACCTCAGCTCATCACACTGTGCCCCAGCACCTCAGCTGATCACACAGTGCCCCAGCACCTCAGCTGATCACACCGTGCCCCAGCACCTCAGCTGATCACACAGTGCCCCAGCACCTCAGCTCATCACACAGTGCCCCAGCACCTCAGCTCATCACACCGTGCCCCAGCACCTCAGCTCATCACACCGTGCCCCAGCACCTCAGCTGATCACACAGTGCCCCAGCACCTCAGCTGATCACACAGTGCCCCAGCACCTCAGCTCATCACACCGTGCCCCAGCACCTCAGCTCATCACACCGTGCCCCAGCACCTCAGCTCATCACACCGTGCCCCAGCACCTCAGCTCATCACACCGTGCCCCAGCACCTCAGCTCATCACACCGTGCCCCAGCACCTCAGCTCATCACACCGTGCCCCAGCACCTCAGCTCATCACACAGTGCCCCAGCACCTCAGCTCATCACACAGTGCCCCAGCACCTCAGCTCATCACACAGTGCCCCAGCACCTCAGCTGAGTAACTCTTGGCTGACTGCTGTGAGGTGGACAGAGCTGTTAGGAAACACACGGCTTTCGCTTGTGAGAGTAGGCCTTGCCAGCCATGCAGTTGGGATCAGGTGAGGGACGACCGGAGTTCTCGGTTCCCACGGGAGCCCCAGGCAGGCATCTTGACATCCAGCAAGGGGTGCTGGGAAAATCTGGCAGATATTCAGATCTCCCTGCATAAATAATCCTCTTTCCGATCATGCTCAGAAAGCACCACAGACTAGGGATATAGCTCAATGGTAGAGCATTTGCCTAGCTCCACAGAAGACACTCCCCTCCTCCCCCCCCCCCCCCAAAAAAAAAAAAAACCTGAAAGTTAAACAGGCTGACTCTTGTCCTTAGTTGTTTTAACTCAGGGTTAGAGGGAAATAGCGGAAGATGTTTCTCTGATTTGTTGTTCAATAAGCCCTACTGTCCCTCTGGACCCTCCTTCCTTAAGTGATTGGCTGTGTTAGTATTTGGGAACCTGCCATCCTCAGGTCAGGTACCTCCCTCTTGTATCATCTTTCCCTCCTGTGTTGATGTGGCTTCTGAGTCCAGGAAGACCCTTCAGCAGCCAGAGTGAGGCCTGATGCCGTTGCTGAGTACAAGGCTGCTCCCCAGCTTCTCCCCTACCGTGCGTGCGTGCGTGCGCCATCATCCCCACCCCACCCCTCGCCTCCCCTCGAGCTGCCTGGCACACACCCCTCACCGGGCTTCTCCCCCACAGTGCGCTTGCCCCCGTGGCCGCCATCATCCCCCCGCCTCCTGACGTCCAGCCTGTGATTGATAAGCTGGCAGAATACGTTGCAAGGAATGGCCTTAAATTTGAGACCAGCGTCCGTGCCAAGAACGATCAGAGGTGAGAGGAAGAGCTGGAAGTATTGGGCTGGGCTATGGCTTGGTTACAGAGTGCTTGCTTCTAAAATGTGAGGCACCCTGGGTTTCCTCCCTGATGCTGCAACAAAACAACAATAATAATAATAGTAGGCATTTTAAGTGTATGGGATTAAAGACATTAGCTTAGGTTTTTTTTTTTAGTTTAGCCATGTAATCCCTTTCTTATGGTTTTATCCTTTTCTTCCTAAAGTGTCTTTAAGTGTACGCGCGCGCGCGTGGGCATTTGCTGGTTCTGGGGCTTAAACTCAGCCTGGGCATTGTCCCTGAGCTTTTGTGCTCAAGGCTAGTACTCTGCCACTTGGAGCCACAGTGTCATTTCCAGCTTTTTGGTAGTTAATTGGAGATAAGAATCTCAAAGACTTTCTTGTCTGAGCTAGCTTTGAACTGCTGTCCTAGCTACTCGGCCTCCTGAGTAGCTAGGATTATAGGCCTGGGACACTGACTCCTGGCTAAACATGTTTTTTGTTCCTCTTGTTAAATTAGAGTTGGAGAGGTTATTTTACTGTGCAATAAAAAGAGTAATGCTATCTTAGAGAAAAGTGCCTAGATAATTCATGTTGCTTGGGGTCCACTGGAAAGGAAATATAACAACACCTTTTTAAAATCCAGTTGTGCCCTGTGCCTCTGGTGGTCAACATAAAGCATGAGGCTTTACTTGCTACTATGGAAAGGGCTCTGGACAGGAGCCTCACCCTGGTCTGTGCTGTGGGTGGGTGGATGGGCTACGGGTGCTGAGTCAGCATCCAGGGTGGGTACAGCTCGCAGGAAACCCCTGCTGGCTTCATGCCTTGCTGCGCAGCACACCTGTCATGTTGAGTGACCTGTTTCCTTCCTGTGTCCACAGATTTGAGTTCCTACAGCCATGGCACCAGTATAATGCTTATTATGAGTTTAAGAAGCAATTCTTCTTGCAGAAGGAAGGAGGTGATAGGACACAGGTATGGTCTGGAGGGTGCAGGGCTCTGATCTCGGTGCAGAAGTAACTTTCTGTCCTCTGCGCATGAGCCCACCACACTGATGCCTGTTGTGTGTCTGACCTGTGCTGTCTCCAACTTTCCTTACCTCTCAGGTGAACGTTGGTTTAGATCTGTGGAAATCATTCACTCATAGTATCTTCATGGCCATTTGTCCAACATGTTCCAAACCAACAAAAGCAATAATAGCCTCTTTCTTTTCTTTTCTTTTCTTTTTTTGTACCGGTCCTGGGGCTTAAACTGAGGGCCTAGGCACTGTCCCTGAGATTCTTTGACTCAAGGTTAGTGACCTGCCACTTGAGCAATAATGCCACTTCCTTTTTCTGAGAATTTTTTATTGGAGATATAAGAGTCTCACAAGCCAGGCACTAGTGGCTCACACCTTTAATCCTAGCTACTCAGGAGGCTGAGATCTGAGGATCACAGTTCAAAGCCAGCCCGGGCAGGAAAGTTGGCAGGAAAGTCCGTGAGACTCTTATCTCCAATAAACTACTCCGAAAACCAGAAGTGGCGCTGTGGCTCAAGTGGTAGAGTGCTAGCCTTGAGCTGAAGAGCTGAGGGACAGCACCCAGGCCCAGAGTTCAAGCCCCACGGCCGACAAAAAAGAAAAAAGTCTCACAGACTTTCCTGCCTGGGCTGGCTTCAAACCATGATTCTCAGGTCTCAGCCTCCTAAGTAGCCAGGATTACAGGCGTGAGCCACTGGGGCACCTGGCTCAATAACCCCGTCTGTTCATTCATTGAGTTCTACTTCTATCTACTTGGGATGAGATCTGTGCTCTGTATCTGTGCCAACATGGAAGGAATCTCATAAAGATGGAAACTTGTGCCTCATGCTTCACATCCTAGAGCTTAAATCATGTCCGTGGAGCTATGTTTGGGGCACTGGTGGCCCTGCCTCTCTTCTCTGCCCTCTCTGTGGTTTTCTTGTACTCCTTGAAGCTTTTCATCTCATTCCTGTCATCAGCTCCTGCCTTTACATTGCCTTATAACATTGACACCTGACTTCCCTTTTATTTTTCTCTCTTCCATTTTTGCTTCAATTTTGGTTTCTTGCTTTTTTGCTGTATTAGCTAGTCTGGTCTCTTATAATCCTCTTGCCTCTGCCTTCCAAATGCTTTGATTACAGACATGCACCACCACACCTGACTGAGCAGAGGGGCCTCCCACCACCACCTATGCGGGTGAGGCAGGTGCACCACCCTGGGCCATATTCCCAGCCCTGGGATTCTTTAAGTTACTTGTGGGGAGCAGTAATGGAGGCCCTGCCTATTAGTAGATTTTTTTGAGACTTTATCTCATGTTGCTCAGACTGAAGGAATTTCACCTGTAGGTGATGGGAATTATTTCTTATCCATGTAGACGTGCTGCTGCTGTCGATGAGCTGCTCTTTTGACAAGTCCCCGTGACTCCTCGTGTGATATGTGTGTAATGTCTGTCTCTCCAGGTGGCGTCAGTATCAGAGGAGGCCCCTGCAGAATCTGCCGGCGAGAAGCCAGGGGACTCTGGGGACGACGGTACTCCTGAGGACACAGCTGAGGCAGGAGGCAGAGGTGGCTCTGGCGGGAAGAAGGAGGCCACGTCCAGTAAGAGTGCGGCGGATGGGAAGCTGGTGAAAGGTGCGCCGTCCGGTGAGGCCAGATAGCCTGAAGTAGCGGGAGTTTCAGTCTCAGGGACAGGTTCCTGAGCCGTAGTCAGGCTGTGACCAGCTCCTCTTTTAAGTGGCTCCACTAAAACTTGTTCGCTTCGTTGTATGTTTCGAGCCTGGCCTTCGGAGTCTTGTGGATGTAAGTTAGATCTAGGGATCTGTTTGTTTACTGGCCTGCACAGAGCCATGTAGCGGGCAGGTTTGTTGACAGTGCTGGGGATCACACCTGGATCCCACACACTCTGGCAAGAAGTGCTCCACCATGGAGCCACATCCCGGCCTGTGGAGTTGTGCACGTTAAAGGTCACTTTCTTTCTTTGCTAAGCAAGCTTCCTTTTAGTCACCTCGCTCTGTCCCCGAAAGGAAGGTTGAGTCTGATAGGACAGGTATTACAGATGGCTAAAGCAATAGAGTGCAGCATCTCTGGCGTCTGCTCTGAGAGCCCATGGGGTGTAGAGTGTGAGGAGGGAGGGAAGAGGGAGACTTTGTGCAGAAAAGGATGTTGAGGTAGGTAGTGGTAGGAGAAAGGGGTCCCCAGAGGCCCAGGGCCACAGCTGTGGGGTGGGGTGTGCCGGCATGTCGCTGCCCTGAAACGGTAGTCTGACTAACTCTGGGTGGTAGATGGGTCATGATGTGCAGAGGCTCTGACCAGCTCCGGGAGCTCTGCTTCCCCTGGGGTCCTAGGCTCAAGGATGGCTTTACCCATCCAGTAGATTGGCGGAGTCATTCAGCCAGAAGGGCTGTGTCAGAAGTTTTTGGTGGCACAGTGGCCTGGAAGGAAGCTTTTACGAAAGTGGGGGTGGGTCCTGACAGGGAGAAAAGGCAGTGGTGGGCAGTGCTTTGCAGCAAGAGTGCCTGTCCTTCTCAAAGGGGCCTTTGTGATGGGAACGGTGGTCTTTGAGAGTGACCCAGTCATCAGCTCAGAAAGTCACCTGAGCATGGTTTTCACTCCCACTGAGATGAACAGAGACAGAGACTACAACAGCTTCTGCTGTCCCCGTGTGGGAAGACAAGCAGTCCACCTGGAATTCTCCTTAGAAGATGAAAAGGATGTCTGCAGATGGAGACAGTGGCTAGGGGATCCACTGTTGACACAGGGTGACGGGAGCATCCGGGAGCAGCAGCACCCTGGAAGCTCCCTACAGACAGGCTCCTCTCCTCTCAGCTCGTCCAGCCAGCCTAGTGAAGTGGGAGCCGTAGCTCCCAGCTGCTGCCTGCCTGCCGCGTCGGGGCCGGTGAAGCCACACATGCAGATTTCCCTTCTGCATCCCTGTTAGCCTGAGATGTTCAAACAGACATGTGAGCAGACCTACAGACGTGAGCACTCTGAAACTGTGTGTCCAGGCAAGCAAGGACAGCGGATCCGTTCAGCAGACCTGCAGACTCGTGAGCATTCAGAAACTGTGTCCAAGAAAGACAAGGCAGCAGATCCACTCAGCACAGGTGCTTCTCTAACATGGGGAAAGCTCTGGGTTCCATCCTCAGCACTGCCAAAAAGGAAAAAAAAAAAGAAAAAGAAAATATTATTCAGAGAAAAACACACAACCCTATCTGTTTTTGATGACAAATGTAAAGTGAAAACAAAACGAGCATTGAAGTCAACCTAGGAAGTGGGCTAGGATACAGCTCAGTGTATTTAGCATGTACAAAGACCTTCTTCAGTCTCTAGCACTCTTCTCTAAAAAGAGAGAAGAGAAGAGAAGAGGACCTAGGACAGGATGTCATGGCTTGTTCCTGTAAAGCCATCCCAGGCAGGAGTGTCCATGAGCCTCCATCTACAAAATAACCAGCAAAAATGATGAGTTGCAGACAAACCCAGCCGAGCAACCAAGACAAATGAGCACAATGCCCCAAGTTTAAACATTATAGTGGCGTGCGTGTGTGTGTGTGTGTGTGTGTGTGCGCGCGTGCGTGCGTGCGTGCGTGTGTGCGCACGCGCGCACACACAGGAGCCTAGGAAGAAAACCAGACATGGTAGCAGTGACTGTGACCCTAGCATTCAGGAAGCTAAGTCTCCTATGAGAATTCAATACCAGTCTGGTCTGTACCTCAAAAATCAAAACAGGGCACACACAGCTCACACCTCTAATTTTAAGAGACTGAGATCTGAGAATCCAGATTCAGAGCCAGCCTGGGTAGAGAAATCATCAAGAATCACCCCTCCAAATAACCAGCAAAAGCCTGGAGTGGAAGTATGGCTGAAGTAGTAGAGTGCTAGCTGTGAATGAAAAATACGAGAGCTTGAGGCCCTAAGTTGCAGCCTCTAGTATGGTAAATAAAAATAAAGGAAAAATGAAAAAAGCAAGGGGAGAAAAGGCCAGGAAATTGCATGTTCCGTACTGAAATACAGATACACACAGCATGACCAAATGAAAATGTAAAGATATCTTTATACAAAGATAGCATATATCTTTAAATTCAGAGGAATTTGGAAAGTGACTGAAAAATAGTATTTTGAAATAAATATGTTAAGATTGTCTCAAGAAGAGCTAAGGAACTGGCAAAGATGTATAGGCCTGGAAGAATTGTTGAAATACTGTAGTTGACCTGGCTCTGGAGCCAGGCAAGAGGCCAAGACAAATTGAAGTTGGCTTAACTCACCCCAAGAAACGGCTCTCTCCATTGTAACCTGCTCCAGAGCGCTGAACACCGGCGTCCGCAGTCCCTGGACCACAGCCACCTGAGAAGCACAAGTGTTGGAGTCGTGAGTGCATCCCACTGTGGAGAGGGGCAGGAGTGAGCGGCGCTGCCCGGCTCAGCTCGGTCTCCCATGCCAGGGTTGCATTAGCAGGGCAGAGAGAGAGCCAGAATGCCCGCCATTCCTGGGGGAACTTGTTCAGTATTGAAGATAACTGACGCTGGAAAAACAGGCTCTTCCCTTGGAAAAGTAAAATAAGGGAGGTGTATGTAAGCTCCAGTAGAGTATGTTTCTGCTTAGCAGGCACAAGGCCCTGAGTTCAAACACCAGTACTGAGGGAAAAAAAAAAAAAAGCAAAGCTAAGTAAGACTTAGATCACATTTGACAGCATTAATTCCAGAATTGAATATTTAAGTGTGAAAAGTAAAACCAGGAAAATGAAAGTAAATTCTTTAATCTTGGAGTTGAAAAGGCCTTGTAAGTATTGAAGTGGGGGGTGAGGGGAAGTTAATCGTTCTTTTAGAAGCAGGACCTGAATAAGGTCAAAACACAGATGTCAAAATGATGGTAACACTGCTAACATATAAAAGTGTTGCTGTTCTTGCTGAAGAAAGAGCTCTTAGAAATCAGTAAGATGATGTCTATAGCAAAAGATGGACTGAGGACAAGAAAAGGAGGAAAATAGATGCCAGGAAGGAATTTTTAGGTATAATCATTAGTAACATAGTGTCTACCTGTAATTGCAGCCCTGGGGAGGTTGAGGCAGGATTGCAAGTTTGAGGCCATCTGGGCTATATAGTAAAACCTTATATATCAAAAGTACCCCAAAAGCAAGGTGCTGATGGCTGACACCTGTAATCCTAGCTACTTACAAGGCTGAGATCTGAGAATCCCAGTTCAAAGCCAGCCCGGAGTCCATGAGACTCTTATCTCTAATAAATTACAGAAAAGGCCAGAGGTAGCACAGTGGTTCAAGTGGTAGAGCACTAGCCTTGGAAAAAAAGAGCCCAGGGACAGCACCAGGCCCAGAGTTCAAGCCCCATGATTGGGGAAAAAAAGAAAAAAAAAAGTTTTGCCTTTCATATTAACAAATATTGCTCATCCAGTTATGGTGGTGTGAACTTGCCTTCTGGAGGCTGAGGCAGAAAGGATCCCTTGAACTCAGGAATATGAGACTAACATAGGCAGTGTAGCAAGACCTCTCAAAAACGTGTGTGTGTCTGTGTCTGTCTGTCTGTCTGGGGTATGTAACTTGGTAGTGGAGGAGCCTTGATGTGGTGGCACGTTACGTTAGGAAGTGGAAGACTCAGTCCACATTTTAAGAGCAAATGTCCTTCCACTCCTAGAAATGTGGCCTGGCAAGCTCTCTGCACAGGACATTTAGCATGGGGCTTGGGTTTTTTTGTTATTATTTTGGAGTTGGCTTTTTTGTTGTTCAGAGGTACTGGGTTTGAACTTAGGACTTTGCACATGCTAGCCTATTGATGTACTACTTGAGCTATGCCCCCAGCCCTTTTTTGCTTTGGTTATTTTTCCAGTAGGATCTCATTTTTGCCTAGGCTCAGCCTCAGACCATGATCCTCCTATCTACTTCCCAGCCAGTAGGTGAGATTACAAGTATGCTCCACCATTGCCTTGCTTACTGATTGATTGAAATGTGCCAACTTTTTGCTCCTGTTGGTCTCAAACCATAGTCCTCTGATCTCTACTTCCCAAGTAGCTAGGTTTCCAGCATGAGGCACCATGCCCAGACTTATTTTGAAGGAGTATGAAATTTTAAACAGCCAAGTACTGGTGGCTCATGCCTATAATCCTATCTACTTTGGAGGCTGAAGATCTGAGAATCACCATTTAAAGCTAGCCAGGGCAGGAAAGTCTGTGAAATTCTTAGGTGTAGTTAATCACCAAAGGCAAGAAGTAGATCCATAGTTCAAGTAGGTATCTAGCCTGAGAGAGAGAGAGAGAGCACAAGCTTAAGAACAGCACCCAGGCCCTGAGTTCAAGTCCCAGAACTCGTATAGAAAGAAGGAGGAAGTAGACATGGAAACTATAATAAGGCGTATTTGGAATGCTGTATTGAACGTGGGAAGACTGTCTAGACGAGTTCCCTGGAGCGGGACTGGGAGTGAAGTTAGGAAGGTCGGGTGTGGTCCGCCGTCCCTCTGCTAGTGTGCATGTGTGCAGGCTATGCACAGATGTTTTCCTCCTTTCACAATTTCCCACAGAGAATGTATTGCTGGAAGGAGCTGTTTGAGGCAGAAGGAAGGAGTCACTCAGAGCTACTGCTCTGGGCTGCGACTCAGGTCCATCTGTGCCTGTGCCACTGTTAGGCTGGGAGCTGGCTCCGTACGTGATTCCACCAATGTTGAGTACGAAACTCTCTCTCTTTTTAAATGTTCCTTAGTCCTGTTTGTTAAAGAGACTGCTACTACAGACAAGCAGGCTACAAGTAAGTAGCCTCACCCTCACCCTGACCAGCTGGGTACCTTCAGCCCAGGCTGGCCTTGTTTTATGCAGCTCCATCTCTGGCTTGGGTTCTACTCCCAGATTTTTATTTTATTTTGTCGGTCGTGGGGCTTGAACTCTGGGCCTGGGCGCTGTCCCTCTGCTCTTTGGCTCAAGGCGAGCGCTCTACCACTTGAGCTACAGCGCCACTTCTGGTTTTCTGGTGGTTTATTAGAGATAGGAGCCTCATGGTCTTTCCTGCCCAGACTGGCTTTGAACTGCGATCCTCAGATCTCAGCCTCCTGAGTAGCTAGGATTACAGGCATGAGGCCACCGGCACCCGGCTAAAATGAATTAATTTTTCAAGATTCCATTTTGTAGTGGAGTCATATGCTTTCTTAGCAAATTCAGTTATATACCAAGTGCTGGAAAACGAAAAAGTAGAAGAAAAATGATAAGAGTTGGTCATTTAAAGCTGCAGGTGATCCTCTGGCTCTCTGCCCGTGTCCTACTGTGGCTCCGTGGTGGCCTGCCCTGCAGGCCCCATTGCTTAGCCGGCCTGTCGTGAGCTGCCCACACTGCAATGGCTCAGGGGCACCCCTCAGCTGTGTGCCATGCAGGGGACATGTAAACAGGGCCCCTTGACACGGCAGACGTCCCTGCGGGCTGTAGAGAGTAAGATAGGGCTCCACAGCTGTGCACCTCCCACCCACCGGCGCCCATGTAGATGGTAAGGCCGTGGTGTCTGCTCTGCGCCTGTTCCCTAAAAGCACTTTTCGCCTCTTCCCAATAGCTTCATTTGCTCCAATAAGCTTTGCAATCAAGGCCAAAGAAAATGATCTCCTTCCCCTGGAAAAAAATCGAGTTAAGCTAGATGATGACAGTGAAGACGATGAAGAAAGCAAAGAATGCCAGGAGAGCTGTAGCAGTGCAGCCACCACCAGCCCTGCCACAGCCGCACCCTGTGTGGTTGTTGAGGAGAAGAAGCCCCAGCTTACCCAGGAGGAGCTAGAAGCAAAGCAAGGTTTGTTAATAGCTCTTAACATTCTCAAAAGAAAGACAAGACGTTAATATAAGATTTATCTGCTAAGCCTGAAATTCTAAGACTGCAGACTAGAACCTGGAGCCAAGTAGGAGTTTCTCCGAGTGCCGAGCCCCACTGCTCGCTAGCTCAGACGCAGTGCTCTTGGCAGTTTGTTCTCAGAGCAGCATAATGCACTGCGGACAGCTCTAATGGAGGTGCGCTTTAGGTTTTGATGACAGCCGGGGTGAGCCACCCCGGCTGGACTCCCAGCCTGCATTAGTGCACCGCACTGGGAGATGCCTTTTTGTGAGGCTGTCTCTCAGCAGAATCACCAGCCCTTGAAGATGATGCGTGCCCGGGCTGATTCTCGGCCCTGGCTCATCGTCAATGCGTGTCCCTGATACATTGCCAGCAGCATGGGGGTGCTGGCTTACTAAGTTATACTCTATATTAAAGTAGTGAATTAATGAATACATTTGTGCTCTTTTCTGTTCTCACTGGCTTTCTTAGATGTTTTTTCTGTGTATACACAAGCAGATCAAGCTATACTTAGCAGTGTGATAAAAGGTAACTTTACCAGTATGCCTTCCTGTCAACGATTTTAGCTGGGATTGCAGTTATTCTCTCCAAGTGTGTGTGGCACAGCAGCTTGTCAGGTCACTTAGAATAAGACACTTTTCGCAGGGAATTTGGTCTAGACCCTGGCCAGACTTCTGGCTGTCTAACCACACCTGCTAGGAGTAGTGCAGATGTACTGTATTTGCTCTATCCTGAGGTTCCCAGTCGTCTCTGCAGCTTGCAACAGTATGGGGGCCTCCAGTCTGACTGGGACTGAAGTAACCTTCCTGACGAGTGTTCTGAACTAATTCTCTCAATATATGGTCTGGCCATGTGTCTGCCTATCCTGAAGTTTGTATCTTACTAAGGTTTTCTTAAGTAATAGTGTTGTTTGGCCCTGTTGGTGCCTGTAAAACTTAAGATAAAGATGATGCTTGCTCTAGACTCCACATTCTCTGTCCCTTTAGCAAAGCAAAAGCTGGAGGACCGCCTTGCAGCTGCGGCTCGAGAGAAGCTGGCCCAGGCATCCAAGGAGTCAAAGGAGAAGCAGCTTCAGGCTGAACGCAAAAGGAAGGCGGCTCTATTCTTACAGACCTTAAAAAATCCTCTGCCAGAGACAGAAGTGGGAAAGCTTGAGGAGAGTCCCTTTGGAATTGAGGTATGTAGAAGAAAGTCTTTCGCAGGCATGATGACAGTTGTTGCTAGCACTGGCATAAGTCTCCCATGGTAAAAGACCCCCTTTCTGTATTGGCTCCTGCCCACCCACAGCCACATGTCACCCAGTGTCCCTGAATGTCTTCAGAGCTGGGCCGTCCCTAGCATAGCAGAGGCCCTTTGCTCTTTTTACTTTAAGTACCTTGGTGTTTCTTAAGAGCTCCAGGCCAATATTCTGCACTCGTTCTCTGCCAGTGTCACTTGGCTGATGGATTTGGCTGTGGAGAGCAGCACTCTGCGTTCAGAGCTGAGCATCCTGCTGAAGGCCAAGGTGGCTTTCTGGGTCAGGAGTCCATCTGCCATCTCTCAGAAAGCAGAGCTGAGGGGCTGGGAAGTTGGCTCAGTGGTAGAGCGCTTGCCTTGCATGCCTGAGGCCCTGGGTTCGATTCCCCAGCACCACATAAGCAAAAAGAAAAAAGCCGGAAGTGGTGCTGTGGCTCAAGTGGTAGAGTGCTAGCCTTGAGCTGAAGAGCTGAGGGACAGTGCCCAGGCCCAGAGTTCAGCCCCCATGACCAGACCCAAAAACAAAAAACAAAAAAAAAAAAGAAAGCAGAGCTGAGCCCCGCTGCAGAAGCTGTGAGAATCAGCTGATCGAGTCCAGGATGCCTGTGGTGGCCAGATCGCTGCTCCCTGGTTCCTGTCCTTAGAGCCATCCTCAGTGGTGTCCTTTAAAAAAAGCTCTCAGCCGGGCGCTGGTGGCTCACGCCTGTAATCCTAGCTACTCAGGAGGCTGAGATCTGAGGATCGCGGTTCAAAGCCAGCCCGGGCAGGAGAGACCGTGAGACTCCTATCTCCAATAAACCACCAGAAAACCGGAAGTGGCGCTGTAGCTCAAGTGGTAGAGCGCTCGCCTTGAGCTGAAGAGCTGAGGGACAGCGCCCAGGCCCAGAGTTCAAGCCCCCATGACCGACAAAAAAAATAAATAAATAAAAAAAGCTCTCAGGGGAGGGGGCTGCAGCCACCACCACCTGACCCAACCCCCAAGGCCCTCCACAGACAGGTTTCTGTGGGCCCCTGGCTCCAGTCATTCTACAGACTCAGAAAGGACCACATAAGTGGTGCTCCTAGCTCTGAGATGGCTTCTGTGGGGATAGAGCAGCGTGAGCAGTAGCCAGGAAAGGCCACAAGGGCAGCTGTGGCCTCAGAAGGGATGTTTTCTTGGAGTAGGAGAGAAGCATAATTATCTCTGCTTTGTGGTAGCAGCTATAAAACGTGTGCATACAGTAAAGGGGCTGAGGCGGGGGGGGGGGAGGACTTGAGAAAGCAGGGAGCTGCCAGGTGCCAGTGGCCCACACCTGTAATCCTAGCTGCTTGGGAGACTAAGATCTGAGGATTGTGATTCAAAGCCAGCTTGGCCAGATAAATCCAAGAGACTCTTGTTTCCAGTTGCCCAGCAGAAGAGCTAGAGGCACAGCTCAAATGGTTGGAGGCTAGCCGTGGTGAAAACGCTGAGTGAGAGCTCAGACTCAGGGTATTCAAGCGAGTACTGGTACAAAACAAAGCAAGAAATGGAGGCCAGGGGTTAATTTAATGCCCTTGATTGTTTTGCTGTCATTTGTGCACTGGATAAAGGGGTTCCTTAAGAGACATCTACAGACCAGCAGCATTGCACGGTTGCATCTGCGTGTTGTGCTCCTCGTGGTGAGCTCAGATGCAGCTTGTCATCAGCACACTGTCCCCGGCTGCCGGAGTCCTCATCACAATGGCCATCATCACTCCCATTCCTGTGTGCCCAGGGCCAGCCCAGCCTGAGCCTCTGTTTCCAGGAGGGAGATGAGTCTAGTCTAATCCATGGATATGAGTGTTTTGTCTCTGGGGTAACCTCCCTGAATATCTGTGTGTACACACAGATGATAGCTGCTGGGCTATTTCATCAGAAATGTAATGGTCGTAGCAGATGGTGATAAATGTCGCTAATTGCTTTGAAACAGAAACTCTTGCACTTAAATTGGCTCTTGTCATAAGTAAGAGTCAAACTCAAATACATTTTTAGTCTTAAGGAACATTAGGGGACAGGCTGTCCTTGACTTATCAAGTATGGTACCGGCACATTTGACCCAACTAGCCACCTAGATGTAGAGCTCTTAGAGGGTGTGGGACTTAGCAGAGCGGAGTTGACGCCTCAGATCCGGAGCCCAGGTGAGCCCGCCCAGCCTGGCTTTGGGACAAGCAGGTGCACACTCGCAGAGCTAGCGCAGAGCTTGGCAGGAACTGGACTGCCGTCTGCCCTGAACAGCCACAGGCTTGCGATTCGCCCTGAGGGCTGGCATTTTCCTATATTTACTTTCCCTTTATAAAAGCACCAGGCATATAATTTGGAAGGTTCCAAGGCTTAGAGAAAGGTATACAGTGAAGATTAAAGGTCTTGTCCTTCTTTTTTAATACCTTCAAATAACTTATTTTGTTTTTCATGCAGTAAAATATTGATAACTTGAAGTTTATTACTTGCACCCTTTTTCTTGCATGCAGTTTAGTGCATTAAGCATGTCTGTCTAGCCAGGCACTGGTGGCTCATGCCTGTAATCCTAGCTACTCAGAAGGCTGAGATCTGAGGCCAGCCCAAGGAGGAAAGTCTGTGAGACTCTTACCTCCAATAAACCACTCAGAAAACTGGAAGTGGTGCTGTGACTCAAGTGGTAGAGTCCTTGCCTTGAGCTGAAGAGCTGAGGGACAGTGCCTAGGCCCAGAGTTCAAGCCCCATGACGGACCGCCTCCCAAACAAAAGCATGTCTGTCTGTCCCAGCCACCACACCCAGAATCATTTTCTCTCCCTAGGCTAACCCTCCATCCACATGAAGCACCAACTGCTCTTTACAAGTTTAAGCACTATAAATGGGGCCCTCCCTAGGCACTATGCAGCATCTTGCTCTCTTTGTGCACAGAGCAAGTCTTTCCACACCAGAGCTTGAATTCGTGCTTGATGTGTTGCTGACATTGAAATAGTGAGTGGCCGCCTGTGAATCCCTACCTCCGGTGGCCGGTTAGCCCTGCCCGCTGGTGGGCGTGCTGGGGCTCCGGGTCTCTCTGCTGTGAGTGCACTGTAGGAACTGCCTGCATCCTCTGTCGGGTGCCTCCCCAGTGCACCCCAGCTGTGGGGCAGCTTTCTTCATTTGGAACACTGCCAGATGAGCTTCTGAGGGGTTCTGGCGGTTTGTCTCTACTGTGTGGTGTTAGCTGTTGGTTCTCAGTACTGCTTTTTCCCTTCTTTCAATACTGGAGATTGAGCCTAGCACCTCAGGCAATGTGGGCAAATGCTTTACCACTGAGCTACATCCACAACTCTACTTTTTTCCATTTAAGGAGCATAGAATTCAATAAATTACACATCCTACCCCTACTGGTGTCAGGAGTCTCCTCTGTTCTGTGCTGGGTTCTTGTGCGTACTTGATCTATTTCTCCACACTAATCTGTTTGATTTCATTGGTCTTAAAGAGATAATTTGACATCTGCAGGCATAATTTTAAAGATACCCTTTAATATACTTGTTGACATGGAAAGATAATGATGGATAGATAGTATGCTAAATTACCAGACATTGTATAAAGAAAGATGTGTACAGGTAGTACTGATAAAAGTGGACATGGCTGGGTATGTACTACCTGCTTGTCATGGTAGCACTGAGGAGCTTGAGGCAGGAAGATCACAAGCCTGAGGCCATCTTGAGCTACATAGTGCATACTTGTTTCAGAACGATGTGTGTGTGCTAGGTGCATTCTTGTCCAGTCAAGCTGACAGTGTGAGCCATTGTGGCTGTGTGATGACTGCTTTGTGGGAACGCGCTCCACGCGCTCCGGTTCCCGGCACTCAGTGTTTCACTGGCGAAAGCACTATTGCGAGTTCATATGCTGATTTGTTGCTATCATGGTAAAAGAACTTTCCAGGGTCAGCTGGGTGCCCGTAGCTCACACCTATAATCCTAGCTGCTCAGGAGGCTGAGGCTGGGATCCAAGGATCGTGATTCAAAGCCAGCCCAGGCAGGAAAGTCCGTGAGTCTCTTATGATCACTTGACCTTAGGTTGTTGCCTGTCCCAGAGAGTACAGCTCACTTCTCTCCTGAGCAGCGGAGGAAGCGCACCTCTGGAGGCCCTGTTAGGTGGGAGGCAGGAAGGGAAGCCCACCCACTGCCCAGATGTACAGACGCAAGCGCACACCACGTCTGTCCCCATCCCATTTCCTGGGGCTCAGGCAGCGGGAGCAGACCAGGCTAGCCCACCCAGGTGTTGCCTTGAATTTTTCCGTAAACCTTACACCTAAATCTTCCAGGCAAAAAGGAAATTGTGTTTCATGATTGTGAATTGAGGACTGCCCTCCGGTAGAGGTTCGGCAAAAAGCAGGCGGCTGGCTGCCTGCGGGTTGGTGCCTGGGTCCCTGGGTGAAAGTTGCTCTCAGTGATGTGCACTGAGACCAGTGCAGGCTTCAGTGTACATGTGACACCCAAGAGTCCTAAATTCAGAGACCAATCTCTTAGGCCTCCTCTAAAAATATTTCAGATTCATGAAAAACCTGGTGTTAGAGGCTGTGGGATCCCTGGATGGAAGGTTGTTAAAGGGCGAATATGGGTTTTCCTAACACAGTGTCTTTGATAAGGTGCCCCTTCATTGCTGGCCACAGACAGCCCACTAACACTGCTCAGCGTCTCTGGAGTTGTCCTTTGCCCCATAGAGGCCAGCCCAGTCCCAGGCAGCCCCCAGAGAGAAGGCTGTCCTTCCTCAGCGTCACGCCATCCAGCGGGTAGACGTGTTGCTGCAATAAAGTAGAAATTGGAGCTGTGCTGTAGGATGTCTGTTAAGGCCACTCCTTGGCTTTTCATTCTCAGGAAGCCAGTCCTGTGCCCTGTCCTCTGCTGGCTGGGGGCAGACCTCTGCCCACTGTGGATGCAAAACCACCGGAAAGGCCTTCAAGCAAAAGCAGAGATCCACCCCGAGAAGAAGAGAGAGAGAAGAAAAAGAAAAAGCACAAAAAACGGTCTCGGACTCGCTCTCGCTCTCCCAAATACCGCCCGTCCTCCAAGTCCAGGTCCAGGCCCCACTCGAAAGCGAGGCACTCCCTGCCCAGTGCCTACCGGACAGTGCGGCGCTCAAGGTGGGTGTGGCGCCCTGGGCCTCCTGGGCCCTGCAGTCGCTGTGTACGTTAGGTCCCTCAGCCAGCAGCACGTGTGGCCCAGCGAAGGCCTGAAAGGGCAGGTGGGTGGAGGGCAGAGTGGGAGTTCTCCATATCCACAGGAGAGCTACTTCTCAAGTCATGCCAACTACTGCCAGGTTTTCAGACATCGCTTATTTATGCCTGTGATTCCAGCACTCGGGATGGGGCAGGAGGGCCTTAAGGTCAGGTCAGCCTGGGAAATACAGCTAGACTGTCTCCAAAAACAAGAGAAAGGTAATGGTGTACTTAAGTGCTAACAGTCGTGTGAGCAAGCCTAGTCTGTGTGTGTCAAGAGCAGGCCAGGTGTGAGTATGCCAAGAGCAAGCCTAGCACATATGGGCAGAGTCCTTCCATTAGGACCCTGGTCCTGTTAATGTGGATGAATTTCTCATGCTTTCTTTTGAATGTGGTAACTGCAAAACAAGAATACCTGGTCTGGTTCAGATGCCCTGCACCCCCAAGTGTGAGTCAGAGTGAGACCACAGAGGCCAGGGATAATCCCCGCTACTTGGGAGGTTGGGATAGAAACTTGTAGCAAGGCCAGCCAGGGGGAAAATGTTAGTAAGACCACCTCTCAACCAGTAAAACTGAGTGTCCCAGTGTACATCTGTCGACCCAGCTGTGTAGAAAGGGTTAAGTAGGTTTGTGGTCCAAGCTCGTGCAGACAAAAACGAGACCCTAGCCCAAAAACAAGAGACAACAGTACGGATCTGTTTTAACGGTGTGCCTCTTTAGGCTCCCAAAGTCCTCCTCACGATGAGCCAGTGTTTGAGAAGTGAACTCAGTCAGAGATCACAGAATTCGCTCCTTAGGTAAACAAAACACAGCAGTGGCCACCTTGCCAGAGGTTCAGAAGGCTGCTCTGTCATCAGCTGTCCCCAGGTCCCCTGAGCTCTTCCTATTGCCCCACACGCCTGACTCTGGGCCTCCCTGTTTCTTCCGGAAGCCATGTTGGCTCTGTAGGAAAATGACGATGTCCTGTGCTCTTCATGTTGTCAGGGGCGTACTACACGCTCACCTTACTGGACACGGCCACAAAAGCCATACGCTGTGTTTTCCTGTTCAAAGCTTACAGGGTTTATCAAATAGTTAATGAAACTATAGATTTGCCTTTGTTGTAAGTCTTTGACCCTCTGTACTTGGCTAGTTCTTGAGAAATTCAGTCACTTCCTACCATTACACACACAAAAAATCTCATGTCAACAACTGTGTGACATACCTTTTTTCTTTTTTTTTCTGTCAGTTGTGGGGCTTGAACTCGGGGTCTGGGTGCTGTCCCTGAGCTTTTTTGCTCAAGGCTAGCACTCTGCCACTTTGAAGTACAATGCCACTGCTGGTTTTCTGGTGGTTTATTGGAGATAAAAGTCTCACAGATGTTCTTGCCCAGGCTGGCTTTGAACCACAATCCTCAGATCTAGGATTACAGTTATGAGCCACCGGTACCCGCTGATTTTTATGTATGTAGCTCCTATGATTTGTATTGTGGGTCAAATTCTCTTTTTCAAAATTTTCTCATTTGGAAAACTTTGGTATTGCAATTATATAGCTGAAAACAAACAGCATAGGCCTGAGTGAGGCTCCCCAGCGTACTAGCCCTGGCCAGTGGTGTGTCCCCAGCCAGTCCTGGGGCTTGAACTCAGAGCGTGGGCACTGTCCCTGAGCTTCTCTTGCTCAAGGCTACCACTCTACCACTTTTTTTTAGTTACCACTGAAGTGTGTGTGTCAGACTTCTTTACCTGCTGTTCCTGTTTTTATTTGTTTTAATATCAATCACATCAAGCATTCTAAGTGGAATGAAGAAGTACTGTACAGTTTACTTATGCCTAAAGTTTATGACTTAGATATTGTTTTTGTTTGCTTACTTGTTTTTGTTGGTCGTGAGGCTTGAACTCTGGGCCTGGGCACTATCCTCAGCTCTTCAGCTCAAGGCTAGCCCTCTACCACGTGAGTCACAGTGCCATCCAGTTTTCTGGTGGTTTATTGGAGGTAAGAATCTTCACAGACTGGGGCTGGGAAGGTGGCTCAGTGGTAGAGCGCTTGCCTTGCATGCATGAGGCCCTGGGTTCAATTCCTCAGCACCACATAAGCAAAAAGAAAAAAGCCAGAAGTGGCTCTGTGGCTCAAGTGGTATAGAGCACTAGCCTTGAGCTGAAGAGCTGAGGGACAGCACCCAGGCCCAGAGTTCAGGCCCCAGGATTGAACTCAAAATTAAAAATAAAAAAGAGTCTCACAGACTTTCCTGCCCGGGCTGGCTTGGAACCTTGATCCTCAGCTCTCAGCCTCCTGAGTAGCTAGGATTACAGGGTGAGCCACCGACGCCCTATTGTTAAACTATATAAGACTAAAACTTCAAAGCGCATTTCTTTTTTAAAACCTTTAAGTGAGATTACTTGGTATTAATGTAAGTGTCCGAATGCCTCTTCAGATTGCCCCCAGTCTTTGGGGGATTATGGGCAGATATCTATATGATAATGATATATTGCTTCCTTTCTACAAGTTAGCTCCATAAGTGCTTTCAGAGGACAGATTGAGGAAGTGGCGCTGTGGCTCAGGCGGTAGAGCGCTCGCCTTGAGCTGAAGAGCGCAGGGACAGCACCCATGCCCAGAGTTCAAGCCCCATGACCGACCCAAAGAAAAAAGATAATATATGCCAGGCGCTGGTGGCTCATGCCTGTAATCCTAGCTACTCAGGAACAAAAAACAGGACAGATTGAGAGGATTTTTTTGGTGTGTCTTTTTTTGTCTTGTCAGTCATGAGGCTTGAACTCTGGGCCTGGGCGCTGTCCCTCAGCTCTTCAGCTCATAGTTAGCTCTCTACCACTTGAGCCACAGCACCACTTCCCATTTTGTGGCGGTTTACTAGAGATAAGAGTCTCATGGACTTTCCTGCCTGGGCTGGCTTTGAACCTTGATTCTTAGATCTCAGCCTCCCCAGTAGCTAGGATTACAGGCGTGAGCCACCAGCGCTGGGCTAGGACTTATTCAGTCTGAAAGAACTCAGGCAAAATGAAGTCATAATTTGATTTGAAATTTGTGAAGTTTTATTGTCCATTTTCTCTGCACAGTAATGAATAAAAGGCAATTTGATTTCCTAATCCTGTTTCTTAGAGACACGGGATGTGCATGATAATGCTTGTTGTGGACAGGGGTGTGCTGTGCAGTGAACCCTGACCAGGTCTGGTGAAGGCCAGGCAGGCAGCCCCAGCCGGCAGGATAGCTGTATGGTCAGGTGAAACTTGGTCTGGTGGGCACTGGCTGCCAGGCCACCGTCCCTTCTGAAGGGCCTGACAGAGGAGGGTGAGTGCACAGACAAGGTAGGTTAGGCAGACAGCTTGCATCGATGGAAAGAAGCTCCTTAAAATGTGGGCAGTTGGGGCTGGGTGTTAGCTCAGCGGAAGAGCACCTGCCTGGAGAGCACAGGCCCTGAGTGCAGTCCTCAGCTCGGGGGAAAAGCTACAAAAGACCAAATGCAGTCAGTTACTCAGAGCTGCTGTGGTTTTTATGGGCTCATCATGCCTTTCTTTGAGAGCAGACCATTGTAATTATACAAGAAGAGCTATCTGAGCTGCCTTTTACTTGAAACTCTTTAATTGAGACCACTTGTCATCTTTAAGAAGCCCTCAAATGACGCTGCACAGATTTACTTGTAAGATGGAATTCTGGGTTCCCACACTGAGCCTGATGAACAGAATAGAATACTAAAGCTTCTTTCCTTCAAAGTGAGACCCAGAGCATTATCCATTGCTATTTCCTGTGCCTTTTCTGAGGTGGCTTCCTTCCCTGAGGACAGCCACACCTCCTTGTAAGGAGTCTGACTGATGGATGATAGCCACTGTGAAACAGTGTTGTGCATTGTTAGCATTGTGAGCTGCAGGCCTTGGGAATTAACTTAACTCTTCCTGACTGTGGGGTTTACTGTGGAGTTCTTTGTTAAGAAGTGATAGGTGCCGGGCACCAGTGGCTCACGCCTGTCATCCTGGCTACTAAGGAGGCTGAGATCTGAGGATCGAGGTTCAAAGCCAGGAAAGTCTGAGACTCTTATCTCCAGAAAACCGGAAGTGGCACTGTGGCTCAAGTGGTAGAGCACTAGCCTTGGGCTGAAAAGCTGAGGGACAGCGCCCAGGCCCAGAGACAACAAAGAGAAGTTTTTCCTCACAGTTTTGGTAGCACCCAGCCCGGCACACTTGATTCTGCATGTGAGGTCTCCCCAGTGCAGAGCCTGGTGCCCCAGCTCCGCTGTGGCCGGGGCAGCACAGCAGAGCTGCCAGGTGTCAAGTGTCTGCCTGCCCTGGCCTCCATGCTCCGTCCTAGAGTCTTCAGGAAGGTCTGGGGAGCAGGTAGGGCTGCACAGGGAGTCCACACACCACCAGGTGGGAGAAGAGCCTGTGTCAGGCACCTTACTCTCAAGTGGGCTCCTGGGCCAGGTGTATCTCAGGAGTGATGTCTCTCCACACAAGGCAGTCAAGGGTAACTACAAGTTGATTCTTGAAACAACAGTGCTTCTGCATTTGGAGGTTTTATTGTAATTAAAATGATTCAGTGGAAAACTTTTTCAAATGGCACAATCAAGCTATTCTTTATATTGTTTCTCAGTGGGTTGTCATGGAAACAGAACAGAGATATGAGGGTTTTTTCCCCCAGATTTCTGCTTATTACAGGCTTTTCTGAAACAGTAATTTCACTGAATGAACAAAGAACTAAAGGAGAAGTCCCGGGCCACTGTCCAGGGACCTGTATCAGGGACCTCGGCCACCCATCGGGTGGGCCCTGGGGTCCTTCTTGCAATGGATGGATTGTGTCCCATCAGTAACAGAATGAGGTTTTTTAGGCCCAGTGAACAGAAGAGTAAGTTTTAGTGGATGCTTTTCCATCCGTGTAACCTCGTATTATCTGAATTGCTCAGCCCAAGCTGTTGTGAGAATGGCATGCTGAGTTGAGTTTGGGGCTTTGTGCCAGTGAGCCTGCAGCACCACCCGGCTTGAGGCCACGTGCCTAGGAGGCCAACTGTGGCCACAGACCTGCAGACCCTCAGGGCCTTCCCTTGCCTGCGTCTGACAGCGTCGGCCAGCTGAAAGTTTCAGGCAGATGGACGGACAGAGGCTAGGAAGGGCAGAGAGAGCGTGACCTTGTGGGCAGTGGCCATACCAGTGCAGCCTCCCCAGACCGACAGTCTGGGCGATGGGTCAGGAGTGAGCAGAGCAGGCATCTGAAGGGCCCATGGGCCCTGTCTGTGCCTGAGTGCAGACCCTGCCTTGCCTGCTGCAGCGGGGGAGCATGTGCACAGACCACACTCTAGAGCCGGCTGTCATATCACTTCTGTCCAGGTCACGCTCCCGGTCCCCTCGGAGGAGAGCACACTCCCCTGAGAGACGCCGGGAAGAGAGAAGCGTCCCCACTGCGTACCGAGTGAGCAGCAGCCCGGGGGCCAGCAGGAAACGAACTCGCTCCAGGTAGGCGGCTGTGTACCCACAGGTGCACACTTGAGGTTTCCCTGGGCAGAAAGGGTCTGAAGACTGTGTGTGTGTCTGTGTGTGTGTGCATGTGTGCACACGTGTGCGTGTGTCTGTGTGTGTGCAGGTGTATGCTCATTATCACTGTAGGTGACGAATGAGGTGCACTCCTGGAGCTCAGGCTGGCCCAGCCGGGTGGCCTGCTGCCTGTTGGAGTTAGAGGCTCACCAGTGCATTGCACCCCAACCTTACTGCTTCCTGGACCAGCGCTCATGTCCCCGTCTTGCCTCTTGGCAAGGCACAGGAAGGAGGACCGGAGCTTGTGACTTCCGCCTTAGTGTCCTCCCCGGTCTCTCCATCAGGCGAAGCACCCTGCCCGGGCCTCAGCCCGCCGGGGCCATGCCGGGGCCATCCCAACGCTGCACCACGCGAGCCCCCTTCCCCCCCCCCCCCCCCCCCCCCGGTGGGATGGTAGCCAACCCTGTGTGTGTGGCCCGTGGCGGCTTAGCAGAGGGGAGTACATACTAGGAACCAGTCACTACAAGGGCATGAAGCAGGGGGCCCATCCCAATGAGCTCAGCAGAAAACATCCGCCCTGGGACCTGGCGTGTGCACCTCTGAGAAACACCAAGGTCCAGGCTTGCACAGCCCTGAGAGGGCGGGCAGCACTTCCAGGGCAGCGCACTGGTGGCCACTGGGGACACCTGAGAGCCGCCTCTTGGCTGTTCTCATGGCCAGTGTCACTGACAGACTCCCAGTGTCTCCAGAGGGACAGGAGCCGGAGGATACAGGAAGTAGGGCTGAGCAGTGGGCCAAGTAGACAGAGGAAGGCCAGGCCAGGGGGGACAGCAGATGGCTAGTCAGTCCTTGCCCACAGTGCCCTCGAAGGGCCCTGGGGAGACCCAGGTAATCATGGAAGCCACCGGAAGACAGAACTCCTCCTGGAATGGAACAGAAAAGCTGGCTGCTGCTAGCGAACGGTTCTTGTTCAGACGCTGGGTCTGTGCCTTGGCAGACCCGCACTCAGTATGCCCAGCTACCAGTGTGTGCATTTTATTCCTTAAGCAAGTAGCTTAACATTTGAAAGTCAGCACCACCTTTGAAATGCATAAAGGGCATAGTCTAAAATTAATCCCTTGTAGCAAAAGATCTCTCTTCACACAACAGTTCTCTCTTTGCTCCCAAATTAGCCTTTCTTTAAAGGCAGTCCTGGGAGGAGGTGTTAGCGATAGTAGGCCCAGCTGTGGCTGCCCTGTGTGGCTTGCCCACAGGAGCTCTGGGTAAAGAAGGGAGGGTGGTCAGCTCTCTGCCCACCAGCAAGGAAGGCAGAGACGCCACTACAGGTCAGTTTTCTTTTTTCATTTTTTTTCTTTATTTTCTTTTTGGCTCAAGGCTAGCACTCTAATCACAGTGTCACTTCTGGCTTTTTGTTTATGTGGTACTGAGAAATCGAACGCAGCGCTTCATGCATGCTAGGCAAGCATTTCTGCCCCTAAGCCACAGTCCCAGCCCAAACAGGCCAGTTTTCTACTGAGTTCTAAGTCCAGCTGTGCGGTTCATCTGTGGGTCTCTCCGTTGCATGAAACAAATTCACTATCACACTTATCCTGTGGCATCATCCACCCAAGATTACTTCTACAGACACTACTGCCTACTTCTTTTGCTGACTTGTTTTTAAAATGATTTAACTTAAGGTGAAGTGGTTTTGAGGGATTAGACAGGGGCTTCTTATGTAGCCCAGACTGGCTTTGAACCCAAAGGCCTGCTGTCTCAGCCTCCTGAGTGCTGGGATGACTAGGTGAGGCCTGCTAGGAAGGGTTTCATAGAGTGTCACGCATACACCACACGCTCCGTCTGCGCCTCCCCAATGCAGTGCTCACACGCGTGAACACACACATTCCACCCGTGACTCCCTAATGCAGTGCTCACGTGCATGAACACACACATTCCACCCGTGACTCCCTAATGCAGTGCTCACACACGTGAACACACACATTCCACCTGTGACTCCCTAATGCAGTGCTCACACACGTGAACACACACATTCCACCTGTGACTCCCTAATGCAGTGCTCACGTGCATGAACACACACATTCCACCCGTGACTCCCTAATGCAGTGCTCACAGGCGTGAACACACACATTCCACCCGTGACCCCCTAATGCAGTGCTCACACACGTGAACACACACATTCCACCCGTGACTCCCTAATGCAGTGCTCACACGCGTGAACACACACATTCCACCCGTGACTCCCTAATGCAGTGCTCACACACGTGAACACACACATTCCACCTGTGACTCCCTAATGCAGTGCTCACGTGCATGAACACACACATTCCACCCGTGACTCCCTAATGCAGTGCTCACACGCGTGAACACACACATTCCACCTGTGACTCCCTAATGCAGTGCTCACACGCGTGAACACACACATTCCACCCGTGACTCCCTAGTGCAGTGCTCACACGCGTGAACACATTCCACCCGTGACTCCCTAGTGCAGTGCTCACACACGTGAACACACACATTCCACCCGTGACTCCCTAATGCAGTGCTCACGTGCGTGAACACACACATTCCACCCGTGACCCCCTAGTGCAGTGCTCACACACGTGAACACACACATTCCATCCATGACTCCCTAATGCAGTGCTCACACGCGTGAACACACACATTCCACCCGTGACCCCCTAGTGCAGTGCTCACACACGTGAACACACACATTCCACCTGTGACTCCCTAATGCAGTGCTCACACGCGTGAACACACACATTCCACCCGTGACTCCCTAATGCAGTGCTCACATGCGTGAACACACACATTTCCACCCGTGACTCCCTAATGCAGTGCTCACACACGTGAACACACACATTCCACCTGTGACTCCCTAATGCAGTGCTCACACACGTGAACACACACATTCCATCCTGTGACTCCCTAATGCAGTGCTCACACGCGTGAACACACACATTCCACCCGTGACTCCCTAATGCAGTGCTCACACGCGTGAACACACATTCCACCCGTGACTCCCTAATGCAGTGCTCACGTGCGTGAACACACATTCCACCCGTGACTCCCTAATGCAGTGCTCACACGCGTGAACACACACATTTCCACCCGTGACTCCCTAATGCAGTGCTCACACGTGAACACACACATTCCACCCGTGACTCCCTCCCTAATGCAGTGCTCACGTGCGTGAACACACATTCCACCCGTGACTCCCTAATGCAGTGCTCACGTGCGTGAACACACATTCCACCCGTGACTCCCTAATGCAGTGCTCACGTGTGTGAACACACATTCTGTCTGTGACTCCTACGTTTTGCCACACTTGCTCTCTTGGGCATTCTGCTCCTTTTCCCTCCTGCCTGTGTGCTCTGAGCCCAGGCTGGCCGGCCGGCTGCTGCAGGGCCCGTTGGGCTGCTCCCTGTTTTCAGGAAGGTGTGCATTATTTTGGCAGGAACACTTTGTAAACCAGTGTGTGTAGCATCAGGAGACAGCAATGTCTGTCTGCACCAGTGTCTGGTGCCGAGGCAGTGGCCTGGTGAGGATGTTCTGCCTCTTCTCTGAGCAGGCAGGGGTCTGTGAGGGGCCCTGTGAGCCTGTGTGAACTGTGTTCTGGCGGCTCTGCCCGCTGGCACACCAGCTGTCCCTGGCGGGATAGTGGCTTTCTGGCCCTCTTGCTCTGAGCTTGTTAGCCGCCTCCTCTGGAAGGAAGAGCCCTCCATTTTCATGGCACCTTAGGCTCGAAGCCTGGGGCTAGTTCGTTGGGCTAGTCTCTCACCTTACGTATCTGACCAGGGGAGTCCTTGTAAGCTGGTCTGATTTTTTTTTTTTTTTTTTTAATTTTATTTTATTTTATTTGAGAACATACTGTACAGAGGGGTTACAATTACATGGGCAGGATAATGCATACATTTCTTACCAAGCATTGCAGCCTCCTCCTTTGTTTACCCTTCACATCCCTTCCCAGCCTCCCCCATCCCTCCCACCCAATCATACCCCCCCTCCCCCCCCCCCCACTGACATTGTAAAGCTGGTTTTGACATGACATTTTGTACTTCTCATTGTTGCACGCATCCCAGTGCTCTTTGATCATCTGAGCGTAAAGTTCAATGCAGTGTGGTAACAGAAAACCCACACTGTTCACAAAAGGCACTTTGAGTCCATTATAAAAGCATGTTTCACGAGTATGTTCACAAGTCATTCATAACGCATAGTGATGCATAACAAAAGCATCCTGGCTAACAATAGAGTGAATCACACCTGTAGTCCTAGCTCCTTAAGGGGCTGGAGAGCTGGAGAATCACAGTTCACAGCCAGCCTGAGCAGAAAAGTCCATAGGATTCCATCTCCAGTTAGCCAGCAAAATGTCAGACTGGAGCCCTGGCTCAAGTGAGAGAACATCAGTGTGAGCAAGAAAGCTAAAAGTCCAGCAGAAGCACAAAGCCCAAGGATTAGCACAAGAAGAAGGGGGAAAAGGGGAGGAGGAGGAGAAGGAAAGAAGAAAAATGAATGGCCCAGTAGCTTGTTGGTGGTGGTAGTGCCATTGAGCACCTAGTGCGTGCCACGTGGCGCTCGGGAGCAACTGGCGTGCACTGTTGGTGGGCGGCTCCCGTGTCGCTCCCCAAGGCTGATAGTGAAGAGATACAGACTGTAAGCCCCACGGTGAACGTGGCTCAAGGGCTGCTGGAATATACGCAACACTTACGACGCTTTATTAGATTCTAAAGGAAGCAGGAAAGGGCAGAAAGAGAAAGCAAAAAGCAAGTGGAGCGAGTGAGACTTCACAGCAAAACGTTCGTGTAAAGAGTGGCGATTGGGTAAACAGACAAAAAGGCAGAGGTTAGGGGTGGGCGGCTTACAAAGAAGTACTACATTGTGTTTTTCAGTGCTAGGGTTGAACTAGGGCTCATACATGCACTCTTATCACTGAGGTATACCCCCACTTTAACTGTTAGCACACAGGGTTGGGAATGTGGCTTAATGATAGCGTACTTGCCTAGTATGTCTGAAACCCTCGGTACCACCTTAACAAAAGGCAGAAATGGCGCTGTGGCTCAAGTGGTAGAATAATGTAACCTTGAGCAAATGAAGCTCAGGGACAGTGGCCCTGAGTTCAAGCCCTGGGACTGGCAAAAAAGCTGGATGGATGGATAGGTAGATAGATTGATCAAATAGGATAGAACTAGAAAGGAGGGCCGGGCGCTGGTGGCTCACGCCTGTAATCCTAGCTATTCAGGAGGCTGAGATCTGAGGATCGCGGTTCAAAGCCAGCCCGGGCAGGAACCGTGAGACTCCTATCTCCAATAAACCACCAGAAAAACAGAAGTGACGCTGTAGCTCAAGTGGTAGAGCGCTCGCCTTGAGCTGAAGAGCTGAGGGACAGTGCCCAGGCCCAGAGTTCAAGCCCCACGACCGACAAAAAAAAAAAAGAACTATAAAGGTGGAAATAAACCATCACCACCACAACCCCTTCTCCATGCTGGTGGCAAGATACAGCTATGTTGTTATGAAGCCAGCAATGGGCTCCAGGGCATCTCCTGGAGGACAGAGGGATAACCCCGGGAAGGGTCTTCTGAGCCCTGAGGAAGCTAGTTCAGAGCTGTGCCCCATGACCTTGGGAGGCAGCACTGTGCCCCGTGACCTTACCTTAGGACACGGCCCTGTGCCCCATGACCTTGAGAGGCAGTCAGCACTGAGGCATGTGTCCCATGGAGAGGCAGCTGGGCTGTGTTAGCCAAGGTGTAGTGGCCATGAGCTAGCTGCCTGGAAGTGTCCAGAATACCTCAGTGTTTCCCTGGTATCCATCAGTAACCCAGGAGGGAGAGAAGAAGGGATTGTAACAGCCTGAGACTCTGCCTCAAAGCTAGTGTGCTGCTCCTGAGCCTGGCCTTTTGGTGGTTAATTAGAGATCTAAGTCTCGGGCTTTTCTTTGAAGCCTCCTGAATAGGATAACAGCGCTAGCCACTCATGCCGGCTTCCTGGTGCTTCTTAAAGATTAGGAAGTCGGGGCTGGGAAGGTGGCTCAGTGGTAGAGCGCTTGCCTTGCATGCTCAAGGCCCTGGGTTCGATTCCTCAGCACCACATAAGCAAAAAGAAAAAAAACCAGAAGTGGCGCTGTGGCGCAAGTGGTAGAGCGCTAGCCTTGAGCTGAAGAGCTGAGGGACAGCACCCAGACCCCCCCAAAAAAAAAGGTTAGGAAGTCTGAGGGAGGTGTGACAGGGCCTGCGGGCTCGGGGGTCCTATCGTGAGTGAGATGGAAGTAGGCTTACAGCATCTCAGGACTGGACAGACCTGGACACCGAGTGAGACAGTGGACGGACCTGGACACCGAGTGAGACAGTGGACGGACCTGGACACCAAGTGAGACAGTGGACGGACCTGGACACCGAGTGAGACAGTGGACGGACCTGGACACCGAGTGAGACAGTGGATGGACCTGGACACAAAGTAAGACAGTGGACGGACCTGGACACAAAGTAAGACAGTGGACGGACCTGGACACAAAGTAAGACAGTGGACGGACCTGGACACTTGAGTGTGACAGTGGACGGACCTGGACACTTGAGTGTGACAGTGGACGGACCTGGACACTTGAGTGTGACAGTGGACGGACCTGGACACTTGAGTGTGACAGTGGACGGACCTGGACACTTGAGTGTGACAGTGGACGGACCTGGACACAAAGTAAGACAGTGGACAGACCTGGACACTTGAGTGTGACAGTGGACGGGCCTGGACACCGAGTGAGACAGTGGACAGACCTGGACACCGAGTGAGACAGTGGACGGACCGGGATACCGAGTGTGACCAGGATGCTGAGCATGGTAGTGGCCCCAGAGCAGGACTTGGTCTGTGCCCAGCTGGGACTCATGGTCAGAGGCAGGCATGCAGCCATCATCCCCCACAGCTGCTGGGCAGGACAGTGCTGAGCTTTTGTGTGTGCGGTGTTTGACTTGAGAACCTTGCTGAGCCAGTGTAAGTGTAAAGCCATGTAAAATGGGGTGGAGTGCCATGAAAGCCAGCACGTTACCCAGAGCCAAGCGTCTTCCTGCAGGGTGGCTGCCGTGGGTGGTTTGTGAACCTTGGTGCACTGTGGGTGGACTTGAGGGCCACGGCCTTCACGAGCATGCGTGGGTGGGGTCCACAGGTTTCACGGGCATGCGTGGGTGGAGGGCCACAGGTTTCACGGGCATGCGTGGGTGGAGGGCCACAGGTTTCACGAGCATGCGTGGGTGGGGTCCACAGGTTTCACGGGCATGCGTGGAGAGGTGAATTCATGAGCATGTGTGGAGAGGTGGAGGGCCACAGCTTTCACAGACAGGTGGAGAGGTCTACAGCCGCAGAAAGAGGTCTCACTGTGGTGCCCCTTGAAGATGCATCCAGAAGGAAGCTCGGGCCACACTCCATGCCTTGTGCACTCCTCACCAAGATGTTTTCCTTACAGAAGTCCCCATGAGAAGAAGAAGAAGCGGCGGTCGAGGTCTCGGACCAAGGCCAAGGCCCGGTCCCAGTCCTCCTCCCCCAGCAAGCAGGCAGCCCACCGTCCAGCGGCCCATGCCGCCCACTCGGCCAGCATCTCTCCTGTGGAGAGCCGGAGCTCCAGCCAGGAGCGTTCCAGGTGACCGTGACCTGGGCAGGTCTCAATGGGAACAAGCAGAGAGTGGCAGGTGGTGCCAGTCTCTGGGACATACCTTGGGCGGGGATGTCAACTGGCCTGGCCTCCGATGGGAATGAGGTGGGACAGCTCCTCAGAACCTGTTCGTAGCCATGCTATAGCTAAAGGGCCCCCCCCCCCCCCCCGAGATCCCAGAGGTCCTGCAGTAGCCTGTTTGGATCCAGGGGTAAGCAGCCTTGCAGACTGGGGTGGTCTCAAGCTCGGCCATGCCCCGTCCTGCTCCACAGGGTCTTTCTGACATCTGCCCTTAGGAGTGGGCCGTGGAAAGCCCAGGGGAACCAGCACTCCTCTGCCACAAAGGCCAGGGTCTAGCTAACTTCCAGATGAGAGTCCAGAGGAGAGTGCAATCAGGTGCCCATGGCAGGGACCCGGGAGCACCGAGGCCCAGCTTGAAGCTGTCTGGGCCCAGGCTGTGGGGAAGCGCCTCCCCATCAGGAGGGTCCCATAAGGGGTAAGAGGCCCACCTGATCTGGGTGCTAAGCTTTCATAGGTGTGAATGGACATGAGGGGGGCTGGAGGCGCAGAGAGCAGCTCACACGAGCCAGTCAGCATCTGAGATGCCTCTCCAGGCTTAGAGCGGGGTGAGCACCTCCAGGCCTCGGCTGGGAGCCTGAATGTGAGCCACAAGGGACTCCTTCCTGTCGTCTTCCAGAGAATTAAGGACACGAGCTGGGCTCCAGTGCCTCACACCTGTCATCCCAACTACTCAGGAGACCCAGGGTTGAGAGTTGCAGTTCAAACCAGCCCAGGCAGGAAAGTTGAGGAGAACCTTTATCTCCAGTGAACCACCAGAAATGGTGCAGTGGTTCAAGTGGTAGAGCACTAGCATTGAGCAAAAAGAGCTCAGGAACAGTTCGTAGGTCCTGAGTTTAAGCCCCACAACTGACCAAAAAGGAAAAAAAAAAAATGATATGAAGACAGATTTTGAGCTAGAGTCATCTTAGAAAATAGCTTGAAATGGGTATAACATAAAATACATGTTTGTGATGTTTGTGGTAATTTTTAGTTTCTGGAAACAAATGCAGTGTTTCCGGCTGGGGGAGGCTGGGGTGTGGACGCTCTCAATCACTGACCAGATGGTGTGTGCTTAAGCTTCTGTCCTTCTTTTGTATTAGGGGAGTTTCTCAGGAAAAAGATGGCCAGATCTCTTCAGCAATCGTTTCTTCTGTGCAGAGCAAAATCACTCAGGTACAGTCCACGTCCTGTCTGCCCTTTCCAGTCTGTGGCGGGCAAGGCCCTGTGCCTGTGGCCACGGAGGCCATCAGTGGGAGGTTTAGAACGAGGCCGAGGCTGTGACTTTGGCCCCATGAGAGCCGGCATCAGCCTGAGCTGCAGCTCACAGACCTTCCTCCCTGTCTTACTGCCTAGGATCTCATGGCCAAAGTAAGAGCGATGCTCGCAGCTTCCAAAAACCTGCAAACCAGCGCATCCTGAGGCACAGCCACCATGGGAGCCAGTCCCGCGCGCACGGGCATCACTCGCCTGCTGGTGGGGCCACAGCTCCAGGACTCTGGGCACCGAAGCGGGGGCAGGGCAGCTCGCGCCTGCAGACCCCCACAGCCATCTGGGTTCTTCTCCAGACTCCCTGGGACCGTCGGTGGCTTTTGTAAATTTTTGATGACATTTTCAGCTTAAGATTTTTGACCAGCAATCTCTTACCTGTATATTTGTAAATAATATCATGTTTCTGTGGAGATGTATTATCGAATAAAATGGGAAGAAAGCTCTTTTCTAGCTCACAGCCTTGAGGTGGCTTCCTTCTTTGGGCTGTGGCTGTTTATCGCACGTCACCTGCAGGTGGACTGTGGGTCAAGACGCTCCAGGAGTGGCCTCTGGCCTGGCGTGGTCCAGTCCCGCCTGTGGCTCCCGTGCCCTCTGGCTTGCCCGCCACAGGCCCCCCGCAGCCCTTTGTCTTGCAGGCTGGCACCGTGCAGTGGTGACAAGGCCCTGCGCCAGACTGCTGTTGGCTCTGCAGGCGCTGCCGGTCCACTCTTGCCTGGAGGTTGTCCTGGCGCTCAGGTGCCTGGGACACACCGACAGGCCTGGCGGGTTCTGGCTGCCAAAGCCTCTGACCCCACAGTGCCCTGCCATTCACGCCTGACTTCCCAGCCAGGCTGGCCTCCAGGATCAGGTTTTACCTTCAGGTCAGCCCATGTGGCAGACCCCATGCTGGTCGTGGGGTAGTGCGGGCTGGGCAGGCAGAGTGGGGACCCTGGAGAAGGGGTTGAAGAGGGGCTCACGGGAGCAAGCAGCCCGCAGGTTCCTTCACCAGGAGGTTCCTAAGAGGTACTGCGCTGTGTTCTCCCCCAGCTGGTGGCTTGCCCAGCCAAGTTCTGTGCTCTTCCTGAGGTGCTTCGCCAGGGCCCAGGCCCCTCCCCAGTGGCCAGGCCACAGCTGCCACCCAGTAAACACGGCGTGCACCCTCCGCATGCCTGAATGCCAGTAGCTGCATACATGCCCCTGGCTGAGACCACAGTGGGCAACAGAGAGCCCAGGACCCAGGTCACCGGCCACCAGCCTGGGAGTCTGGGCGGCCCAGAGCCCTGGTTCCCTGAAGGATAACCTACAGAGCAAATGAGCTGACTGGAGTGAGGTGAAAAGTTGCTTTAATTACAAGCTCGTTAACTATTCAGCAGGGGCAGCTGGGGAAGCAGGAGCGCCAGGCGTCTGAGGGGATGGCCGAGAAAGCGCATTTGGCGGCCTGTCTTACCCCGGACATGTCCTGCAGGACATGGCGTGGGATTTGAGACTGAGGTAGAAGTGGTGCCCAGGTAACCACCTCACCAACTTGAAATAACCCGGGTTCCGTGCCAAAGCAGAAACAGATTTGCAGTAGCCAGACTACCACGGGACCCCGCTGGTTCTGCCACAACGCTGTGCAGCCATGGGCTCACGGCTTCCAGAGAAGGCCTCTGCCACCAACGCAGCCTCACCAGGGCTCGGGCCCAGCCTCAGAGCTGTGTGCGCTCAGCAAGCCCACACCACTTGGACCAGGCCGAGGGCAACAGGAGTCAAGTCTGGGGGCAGTTAGAGCCAGAGAGGGGCCATAACAGCAGGCTGGTCCCAAGATGGAGTGGCTGCCAGAACCAGTGAGCGAGGGAGCGGGTGAGAACGCGCACACAGTCGAGGAGATCTCAGAGCTGTGCTCAGCCAGGCACTGCGCAGCTGGCTACCATACCGTGGGAACAGCTCATACCATTAGAGTATGTGCACGTGTGTCCAAGGTAAGACACTGTGACCCCACGTGGGCGGTCCCTGGCACCAGATTCAGAGACAGCAGGGTGAGGCTCCCAGGGCCCGGACACTTGGTGTTTCACAGGCACAGGTTCCGTTTGGGGAGTTGAAGGGTACCTGTGGCCTCAGGCCCATCCAGCTTGGGTTTTCTGATAGCTCAAACTGTGGACCACCTGGGACTGCCATGTTCTAGGGCGGGGCTGTGGTCTCCAGACCCTTCATGTTTGAGAACCTTCTGATCCCTGAGCCCCCAGCTACTGTCCTCCGTCATGTCAGCAGTGAGACAAATAGGGGACGGCCGTTCAATACTGGTCCTTCACAGCATTAAAGACAGACCTTTATTGTGAGCACACCTTTTTAATGTTGGTCCTTTAAGCTAAGATGTGGATGTTAGGGCAGCTTGACTCCCTGTGTGCTGGCAGCCTACCTGCTCTGAACTCTTGGTGGCTGCCTCGAGGGATCTAGACAACCACAGCTGCCTGCTGCTGGAGCAGACTGTTCCAGCCACAACTGTCAGCCAACAGCCGGCCCAGACGTCACAAGCCTCAGGGAGCTCCAGGTCCTGCAGCTGCTTCCACCCAGGCCAGGGGCAGAGCCCTTCCCCGTGCCTCAGCAGAAGGCCTGAGATTGGTGCAGGTCCAATCTTCATTTGTGTGGTCTCCTGTGATTGGTAGAAACAGCTTTGGCCTGCCCTCTTTCTAGTATATAGGCCCCACGCGGAGGGTAGTCTAGGTGATGCCTTCCTGCATTACCCCTGCATTTGTAACATTTGAGCTAATAAACATTCTCTCCATGGGGCTGGGAAGGTGGCTCAGTGGTAGAGCGCTTGCCTTGCATGCATGAGGCCCTGGGTTCGATTCCTCAGCACCACATAAGCAAAAACAAAAAAAGCCGGAAGTGGCGCTGTGGCTCAGGTGGTAGAGCGCTAGCCTTGAGCTGAAGAGCTGAGGGACAGAGCCCAGGCCCAGAGTTCAGGTCCCACGACTGGACCCAAAAAAAAAAAAATTCTCTCCAGTGGTCTCTGAGCTTTCTCATTCATAGAGGGGCTGCCGTGATGGCAGCAGTAGTAGTGAACTTCCGGAGCCTGGCCAGGGCATTGAATGACAGCAACAGGGTAGAGTACTAAGACTGGAAGAAGAGCTAGAGGAAGCAAGCTGCAGACCCTGGCTACTGGAAGAGGTCCAAAGAGCTGCCCAGCCTTCAGAGTCCCAGACACCCTGGACATAAGGGCAATCACACTGCCTGCGGCCAGGCTGAGGCTCCATCAGCAGAAGCCTCAAGGAGATGCAACCCTACCGAGTGGTGCTGCTGCTGATGCTGCAGGCCCAGGATCGAAACAGGTGCCATGTGGGAGCCGCTGTTTCTGCAGCCGTAACTCTGCCTGCGAAAGCTGTGGCGATGCCCCCGGCGTTCAGGGCTTCGCGCTAAGAGCCTCAGCCCTGCCAGTCCAGCCCCTAGGCTTTGAACACTCAGAGTCTTGGAAGAAGAGCTGTTCCTGTTCTTGTTGGGTGGAAGCCCTCAGCTATCGACTGGTAACCACCCGGTCTCTAGCCTCGACATGACACAGGCCTTGCTGTGGCTCTCTTCCCGTGCCACAGCTCGGGCCCCAAGGAGACCAGCAGGCACCATGTGGCCCAGGACCAGACTGCTGTGCCAAGTGGCCAGCGGGTGAACCTGACCCAGGTGGCAGCTGCCAGGACCCGTCACCTGAGCAGCCGTGCAGGAATTGGTCATCGACAGCCTGCAGTCCCCAGGTTCCAGCCCACAAGGGCCCAAGCGGGTAAACAAAGGGGGCGGCTCTCCACAAGCTACGTGCACTGGTGGCTGATGGTGACTTGGCCCCTTGTTGCTGTGGGGCCAGTCCTGGCGCCGGCCTGCTGTGTGGGCAGGACAGCAGTGGTTGCGGCCCAGTGAGGGAGGCAGCAGATAGGACAGCAGAGTAGATGGAGGGTTACGGGAGTGCGGGGTGTGTCGAGGATCGAGGAGCACCTACAGAAGGAGCACGGTGACGGTGAGTAAGAGCACCCCGGGCACCGTGGGGGCGGCGTGACAGTCCTGCGCACCCGAGTCCTGCGTCCTTGAATGAAGCGTGTCTGGAACCCCGATGCCCGGGCTTTCTTCGCCCCGAGCCTCCTGTGCCTGCAGCCACCATCCCAGTTTCCCCACTTGAACTGCTCACCTCTGAGGACCCAGTTGCTGCTCCCCACCGGCCACGGGGGAGGAAAAGCCCCTAGTCCTGCTCTGGCTAGCAGGTGACCATGAGTCTTTCTTCGCAGGAACTATTTCTTATTTTACATACAGAGCTTTGAACTCAGGGCTGGCTTGCTCATTTAGCTGACAATCTACCACTTGATTCATTCCTCCAACCTGACTTTTGCCCATTATTTTAAGATGGAGTCTGCCCACGCTGGCTTCAAAGTCGGCTCTGAGGGTTCTTGTTTGGTGTGTTGGGTGGGTATGTGTGTGCATGCATGTGCTCACGTGCATGTGTTGTGTGTGTCAGTACTGGGGCCTGAACTTGGGACCTTAAGCTCCTGCTCAGCTTTTTCTGTCAAGGTTGGCACTCTACCTCTTGAGCCATGGCTAAATGCAGCTGAGACCGGTGCCCAGGCTGGCTTCAAGTTCATCTTCCAGACCTCATCCTTTTACGTGCTAGGGTTATATATATGAGCCACTGGCACCCGGCTCATTTTCTTTTCTTCTTTTTAAAAATTATAGCAAAGACTTATTTTAGTAGAACAGGGAGGAAAGAGAAACACCTGTTCCCGTCAGTAAGTGGAGTTAAAGGCTTGTCTTGTTTAGGTTTAATGTGACTTCTGGCCCATCTCTGCAACAGCTCCAGGTAGAAGCTGTTGTGGGGAGAGGTGAGAGGCTCAGCAGGGGACCAGGTGTGCCTGGAGAGGTGGCTGGAGAGGTGGGGTGACTAAGGTAGAAAGTCAAAGTGGACCCTAAGCCGCCAGGACTGGTGTCCTCAGGAGACCAGTGGGCTTCTGTGGACGATGGGAGTCCACGGAAGGTGCCGTCTGTGTGCCAGGCGCTGCCCTCATGAGGCAGTGCCCACTGACCTCAACCCAGGACTCCAGAATCCAGTATCCACAACAGTAAGTTTCTAGCTGGGCACTGGGGCCCTGCTGCCATCCTAGCTACTCAGGAGGCTGAGGTCTGAGGGTCACAGGACAAAGCCAGCCCCGCAGGAAAGCCCATGAAATCTTGCCTCCAATGAACTACTCAAAAAAGCCAGAAGTGGTGCTGTGGCTCGACTGGTAGAGTGCTCACCTTGAGCAAAAGAACCTTGGGACAGCGCCCGGGCCCTAGGCCCTGAAAATAAATAAATTCTCCACTCAGCCCACAGGCCAAGCCCTGAGCCCCCAGTCCTCACTCGGGGTCAGGTTCCACACTGCTGGGGCTTTGATTAACCCTCTCTGCACCCCACTCCCCTCCCCCCCCAGCCAGCGTGCACGGGCCTGGCCAGGCCCCCTCGTCCCTGCTGTCCCCGGTGCCAAGCCAGGAGGACAGACCTCAGGACACTGAGTGGAAGGCCACCCTTTGCGTCCAATGAACCTGGGCTGCTCTTTTCCTCCTTTCACTGGCTTTGAACTGGTTCTGGTGGAGGGAACAGTTGTCTCCAAGGAGGCCAAAAGCGCTTCCCGGCCCCCCACAGCTGCTGCCCACCATCCTTGCCTGGTCTCCCTTTCCTTAGCTGGAGCAGGTATGCAATGGGAGCCCGCACCTCACCGTCCTGACACAAACGACAGAAAGTCGGGGCGTGCCTGGCCCTAAGCAGGTGCGGCAGCCTTGTCTTTGAAGGAAGGGCAGCAAGGACAGCACACACGGGCACTGTCTTGAGAGTGGAATCCTCGCTGGCCACCTGCCGGAGCTCTGCACCGCGCCTGCCCGGCACATTGGGATTTCTCATGGCTTCCATGGCGGAAAAGTTGTGAGAAGGGAAATGGGTAGAGTCAGCAAACCCATTCTCTGCTCCCAACAACCGCCAGCTGGCCATGTGTCCCTACCTGGGCCAGGCTCAGCCCTGGCTGACGCGGTGGGGAGGGACAGTAGGGGGGAGGTGGGAGGGGGGTAGACGGGATGGGGGGGTAGATGGACGGGGGTGGGGAGGAGTGGACGGGGGTGGGGGGTGGACGGGTGGGGACAGTGGGGGGAGGGGAATGAACGGGGGAGGGGGTGGATGGACAGGGGTGGGGAGGAGTGTGGGGGGGGGAAGGAGTGGACGGGGTTCGCCCACACCTTCCCACCCCTGCATCCAGGACCAACCCCCCTTCCCACAAGCAGACCCCAGCAACTGACCAGGTGATTCCAAACCATTCCACAGGCTGGGTTGCTCTCCCGCTCCCGCCCTCCCCGTCCCGCGCCCCCCTCCCGCCCTCCCCGTCCCGCGCCCCCTCCCGCCCTCCTGGTCCCCGTCCCGCGCCCCCCTCCCGCCCTCCCCGTCCCGCGCCCCCCTCCCGCCCTACCCGTCCCGCGCCCCCCTCCCGCCCTCCCCGTCCCGCGCCCCCTCCCGCCCTCCCCGTCCCGCGCCCCCCTCCCGCCCTCCCCGTCCCGCGCCCCCCTCCCGCCCTCCCGGGCCCGGGCTTCCCCCTTCCTCCCGCGCGCCCGTCGCGCAGGCTGCGTGAGAACCCGGCCGGGCCCGCTCCCCAGGGGCGGCCGAGCCTCCGCCTCGCGTCCCGCGCCCGGGGCCGTCCCCGCACGACGCCGCGCGGCGCGGGCCCTTTAAGGCGGCGGGCGGGGCGGGCTCATTAGCCAGGCCGCTCGGCCCCGCCCCGGCGGCGGTCGGCGGCGCGGGGCGCGGGGCGCGGGGCGCGGGGCGGGCGCGGAGCGAGCGGCGCGGAGAGCGGGCGCGGGCCGGGATGGGACGCCGCGCCGCCCGGGGCCCCGGCCCGCCGCCGCTGCTGCTGTGGCTGTTGGCGCTCGCGGCCCGCGGGGGCTGCCCCGCGCCCGCGCCCCGCGCCGAGGACCTCAGCCTGGGGGTGGTGAGTGCGGGCGGCGCGGGCGCGGGGTGCGGGCGGCGCGGGGAGCGGGGCGGGCGCGGGCGCGGGGTGGGCGCGGGCGGCGCGGGGTGCGGGCGGCGCGGGCGGCGCGGGGAGCGGGGCGCGGGGCACGGGGTGGGCGCGGGGCGCGGGGCGGGCGCGGGCGGCGCGGGGCGCGGGGCGCGGGGAGCCGGGCGCGGGGCGCGGGGCGCGGGGCGGGGAGAACGAGGCCGGGCCGGGCGGGCTCCGCCGAGCGCGGCCGCCCCCCCCCCCCGCCTCTCTGGGGCTCGGGGCCGAGGGGGGCGCGGGGCGGCGGGGCGCGGGCGGCGGGGCTGGCGGCCTCCTCCGCGCCGGCCGGAGCCTTTCCGGGCCGGGGAGCGGCCGCCCGCCCCGCGCCCCGCGCCCCGCTCCCCGCTCCCCGCTCCCCGCGCCCGCGCCCGCGCCGGCCGGAGCCTTTCCGGGCCGGGGAGCGGCCGCCCGCCCCGCGCCCCGCGCCCCGCTCCCCGCTCCCCGCGCCCCGCGCCCGCGCCGGCCGGGGCGAGGCCCGCGGAGGTGGGGGCGGCGAGTTGCGGGAGCGGCGCGGGGAGTTGGGAAGTTTGCGCGGCCAGAGCGGGGTCGCCGCCCGTCCCGCCGGCGGGGCGAGGCCGGGCGCGGAGCCGGCGTCCACCGCGGTGAAGAACGCGGGAGCCCCGGGCCCGGCCCGGCCGCCGCCCCGGCGCGGGGCCACCGGGTGCGGGAGCCGCGTCCTGCCCGCGCTGCGCCCGCGGCCCGCGGCGCCCTCTGGCGGTTCCCTCCGCGGTGACGCCCGCGCCGGGGCCGGCCTCGGGTCCCCGCGCCCCCCGCGGCGTCCTCCCAGCTGGCCCCGCCGCGGAGCGGGTCCGGAGCGGCCCCGGGTTCTGGGAGCAGAGGCCCAGCCCCGCCCTGGGCGCGCAGGGGTGGCGCCCGCGGGGAGGCCGCGGCCCGCCTGCCCGGTGTCAGCGCACCGAGGTGTCCCTGGATTCCGTGAGTCCGCGCGCGCGCGGGCCTGGGGGGCTGGGGGCTGGGGGGGCGGCCGGGGGGAGCAGGCCTGGGGGAGGGGGGCGGGGGGACAGGCCTGAGGGAGAGGGCCAGGCCCGGGAGGGGGCAGGCCGGTGGGGGGGCAGGCCGGTGGGGGGGGCAGGCCCCGGGGAGGGGCAGGCCCGGTGTGGCCAGGCAGGCTGCAGGGAGTGCTGCCTCCAGAAGCCAGCCACGGCGTGGGCGCGCACACCCGCATGGCGGAGGCTCTGCCACCCAGGCACCTCATCCCAGTGTCATCTCTTTAGTGAGGGCTGTGCACGCGTGAGGCCCATTTCTGGTGCCAGGACCCTGGTTACCACTGGGTGAGCGTCTGAGGGGTCTGGGCAGCCGCTGGGAGGGCAGACCCCGGGTCAGCTTGCCGTGGTGCCGTCCAGCCCGCGGCCCTCCAGTTTCCTATGGAACAAGGCAACTTCAGCCCTAGACAGCCTCCTGCCAGGGTGAGTTCAGCCTCTGCAGATGACTGGGGCAGCCACAGCCGGAACTGTGGCCTAGGCACAAGCCCACGTGTCCCCTGCCTGGGGCCCCAGCCATCCACCCAGCTGGCCACTGCCAGTGGCTTCTGTGTCCCTCTCCCTGCCCTCCACCCTCCCCTGAGCTCCCGTCCCCAGCTCCTGACCCACCTGCTCTCCGTCCTCTCCAGAGTACCCTCCCCGCCCCCCCCCCCCCCATGGCTCCTTTCTACTCCAGGATGTCTGGGTCCAAGGCTTCCCTCAGCGCTCTACATTTGCCATTTCCCTGCCAGTCTCCAGCCGTCCTGTTACCCCAGGACGGCTTTCCTGTGTGCCACCTGCCGCACCCCACGCCCCTCCTTCACTACAGCGCAGAGGCTGCAGGGCAGGCCCCAGAGCCACAGCCAGGCTTCACCCCAGCCACACGCGTGGGACCGCTCCCACCAACACCCGCCCAGAGGAGGCCAAGGCCAGCTCCCGGCCTTCCCGTGGTCCAGTCATGTCAGACGTGGACCCGGAGCGGACGGGGCTTCATTGTTCACCGTGTGCTATGTGCGAAGGACACATTTCCCGTCCCTTCTGGGTGTCCGTCCCCTCGCGCACCGGGCGGCCGCTGTCACAGCTTCGGGCCTGTTAGCTCGCTTGCAATGCGGGGCTGCTGCCCAGAGACGCCCAGACCCCAGGCAGCAGATGGGGGGTCTGCGGGGGGGGGGGCTCTGCAGGCCGCAGGCCATCATGCCCTGCTCCGGGGTGCAGCCAAGTGGGTGTGCAGCCCCGGGGCGCTATCTGCGTCCCTGTAAATTTGCTGAAATGACCAGAGGGGGTTTACGCTACGCACATTGTGCCTCATTAGAGCTGTAAAAAGAACATTGTGTCACATTGTGACGTGTGACACCGCACGGGGGTGCACAGACATGGTGTGGTGTCCTGGCCCCCTCGTGCCGTGGCACCAGTACCCCTGAGTCACCACCCAGCCCAGCTAGGGCCCCTCCTTCCCTCCTGGCCCCTCCCAGTGGCCTTCTGGAAGGTTCACCCTGCCTCTGGATGCTCGGCCCTGCCGGCTGCAGCCTCTGTTGCCCTGGAGACCGCGTCTGGGTCTGTGGACCCCAGAGGGAGGGCCGCACAGGAGGCAGTAGCTGGGGGACGGGCAGGGGCAGGGGCCTGGCGGCCTCAGACGGGACGGGGGGGGTGAGGGGGCAGAGCCTGCCACCCGTGGCTTCCTGTGAGGCGCTGGCTAGGCTGGGCTGTTGCGGGACCCCAGCTTCTGGGCGGCTCTCCCGGGCTGCTGCCCAGGGCCCTCGGCTCACAGGCACCTCGCTGGCCCATTAGCCTCACTCAGCATTTCCGATGTGTTAGCCACGGAGCTGTGTGGTGGTAAAAGTCAGCCTGGGCAGCTGTGGAGCCTGTGCCCTAGGAGATTGCTGAGGTGCAGGGCGCCCTCTGTCTGCAGGTGTGCTTGGCTGAAGCCCACTGCAGGTCAGCCTCCGCGGGCTGCTGGCCCTTGACCGGGAGCAGCCTGGGGCCTGTGGGAGGTTCCTGTGGCACAGGAGAGGTCTGCCCAGGGGGCAGGACATCACTGCTGGGCAGCTGCCCGGCCCAGCCCGCACGCTCCCCTCTGCAAAGCCCGGCTTGGGGAGGGCGGGAGGGGGGGGGCCTCTGTGCCCCGCGCTCCCTGCAGCTGGAGGCAGCCCGGAGGGTGTCTGAGCCGGTGGCGGGTGGCTCTGCCCCGGCCACCTGTGGACTTGAGCACAGGCGTGAGCATGCCCACGTGCTCTCTCACACCTGAGGAAAACGTTGGCAGGAGCCAACGTTAACCACGTATCCAACTTCAAAGCAAAAACGGAGTCCAGGCAAGGTTTCAGGGGCTCTGGCGGCATGGAGCGGCGTGCCGGGCGCCCAGCCGACATTCATGGGGCAGGGATGTTCTCAGGGTGTGGAGGAGGCACTGCTGTGCCCGGAGCGCAGTGGTGTGGCGGGTCTGACGGCCCCGTGGTGGCTGCGGGCCGCGCTCCGGCCCTGGAGAGGCTGTGCCTTGTCCTGTCCACTGGACATCCCAGGCCTTGTCTGGGTGGGCTGCCTGCCCACTGCCTTCATAAGCCAAATACCCACCGTCCTGAGGCCGGGTGGCTGTGCCCGGTGAGGCTCCAGGGGGTTCTGGGAGATGGAGCCCATTTCCCCAACGCTGCTGCCCGCATCCTGAGCAGCCCGGGGTGTCCACGCCAGCCTCCCACTCAGGCTGGGCCGGGCCCCGGCGAGTGTCGATTCGGAAGGGAAATGTTCAATGATCAGAGAAGTAGATCTTCTCCTCGGGCCTCTGGCAGGCCAACGCGGGCTTGCCTCGGTGAGGAGTGGGCTCAGGACCCCTGAACCCCAACTAACACCTCCAGACCCTCCTCGCCAGCAAGTCTGCAGGAAAAGTGGCCTTGCAGCCTCGTTCGCGGTGGGCATGCTCGGAGCGCCACCTGGTGGCTGGAGTGCGTGAGCGCGGTCCCCACCGCGCTGGGCCTCGGCCAGGCATTGGCCCTGACCCAGCCCCTCGGGCGCTGGGCCTGCCTCTTATGTGCTGGCTCTCCGGGAAGGCTCCCACGCGGCACTCTGTTCGCCTCCTGTCAGCCCTTCACCACAGACCAGTCCCATGGGGTCACAACCCCATTCGGCCCCACATCCCTGGGCACGGCCATATGGAGGCACCTTCAGGCTCACCGCAGAAGAGGCCCCGAGGACCTCCCTTCTCCAGGGAGCAGCCTGGGGTGGGGGCCACATTGACGAACCTTTCCGTTTTACTCTAGAACTTTAACTTGTGCTTTCTAGGCAAGTGCTTTACCACTTGAACCAGGCCCCAGGCCTTTTTGCTTGCTTTTTTTGTTGGTTGTGGGGCTTGAACTCTGGGCCTGGGCGCTGTCCCTCAGCTCAAGGCTCATGTTCTACCCCTTGAGCCACAGCGCCACTTCCAGCTTTTTCTGCTTATGTGGTGCTGAGGAGTTGAACCCAGGGCCTCAGGCATGCAAGGCGAGCGCTCTACCACTGAGCCACTTTCCCAGCCCCATTGAAACTCTTATCTCCAATAAGCCACCAGAAAAACTGAAGTGGAGCTGTGACTCCACTAGACTTAAGCAAAAGAGCTCAGGGACAGAGCCCAGGCCCCGAGTTCAAGCCCCACAACCAACAACAAAAATCCTAGCTACTTGGGACTGAAATCTGAGGAGTTTGATTGAGGTTCAAAGCCAGACTAGGCAGCCAAGTCTGTGCAACTCTTACCTCCAGTTAACCAGCAGAAAGGCAGAAGTGGAGTTATGGCTCATGGGAGCACCAGCCTTGGGCAAAAAATAGAGCTAAGGGACTGCGCCCAGGCCCTGCGTTCAAGCTCTAGCACTGGTGCACACAGCAGCACACATTCACAGGTTTCGGGCGTGATGTGGCTTCCTTGGCGGGAGGGAGGGGAGGCGTTGGCCTGGGCAGCGCAGCAGCGCAGGCTCCTCAGGGGCGGGGCCGCACCCCAGCTCCCCTCACTCTGCTTTCCACCCCCAGGAGTGGCTGAGCAGATTTGGCTACCTGCCCCCAGCCGACCCCGCCACAGGACAGCTGCAGACGCAGGAGGAGCTGTCCAGAGCCATTGCCACCATGCAGCAGTTCGGGGGCCTGCAGGCCACAGGCACACTGGGTCAGTGCCACGGGGGGGGGGGGGGTCCCGGCCCTGCCGCTGGCCTCCGCTGGCTGGGCAGAGAGGGAAGGACAGCACACCCTCGGACGCCCGTGAGCCCCTGGCTGGGGAGGGGGCTGAGGCCCAGCTGCTGACCTCTGTCCACCCCACAGATGAGGCCACGCTGGCCCTTATGAAGACCCCACGCTGCTCCCTCCCGGACCTGCCCACCGCAGCCCGGATGCGCAGGAGGCGCCAGACCGCGCCACCCACCAAGTGGAACAAGAGGAACCTGTCCTGGAGGTAGGTGTGGGCAGGCCTGAGCCCACCGTGAGCGCCCCGGGACTCTCTGAGCCTGAGGCGGGATGTGGGTGGGACAGGACCGAGGCAGCTCTGCCTCCCGTGCTTTTGTCCACATGTGGCCCGCTCCTTCCCGGAGCTCCAGCTGCTCCCTCTCCCGAGGACGCACAGCCTGGTCCAGTGAGCCCCTGCGGCACAGCTACCCCCGGGGCCGCTGCCAGCTCAGGGCAGCCCCTGGGGTGAGGCTGGGCCCGGGGTAATGGACTGGTACCTCCAGAACGCTGACACTTCCTGCCCCGGCGTCCCAGCCCCAGGACGCCCCCGCCCCCCCCCCCCCCGTATGTGGGGGCCATGTCCCTGGTTCTTACCTGGCCCTGGGCCTGGCAGCTGGGGACCGGAGGAAAAGACGGTTGGGTGCATGTCCACATGTGCACCCAGACACAGCGCAGGCACTGGTCCCAGAGAGGTCAGGGCGGCCCGCTTGACCTCTTCCCTGACCCCCACCCTAGAGTCCGGACTTTCCCCCGGGACTCCCCGCTGGGCCGGGACACCGTGCGCGCACTCATGTACTACGCCCTCAAAGTCTGGAGCGACATCACACCCTTGAACTTCCACGAGGTGGCCGGCAACGCTGCCGATATCCAAATCGACTTCTCCAGGGCTGAGCACGAGGACCGCTACCCCTTCGACGGCCCGGGAGGCACCGTGGCCCACGCCTTCTTCCCCGGAGACCACCGCGCTGCGGGAGACGCACACTTCGACGATGACGAGACCTGGACCTTTCGCTCCTCAGGTAGGTGTGTGCGTGGGACTGACGCGTCCCTGCCCGCCCACAGCCGGATGCCACGCAGGCAGGACGCCACAGCTCTATGGGAAGAGAGGCAGCCGGGGCCCAGCACAGGCTGCGGCGTAGGCAGTGCGGGTCTGGGGGTCCTGAGACCTGCTGTGCCCCGTTTCATTCTGGTGGCGCCCGGGCCACGGGCCTCACCCGTCCGTGGATGGCACTGCTCCACACTGCCTGCCCAGCTCACCTTTGACCCAGGGCCCCGGTGTCGGCCCCAGCCGCCTCCCGACACGAGAGTACAGGCCCCCGGGGGGACGGCGCGGGAGAGCCCACGGGACACGGACTGCAACCAGGGGAGGCGCTGGCGCCGCCTCACGGCCGCTGTCCCCAGACTCCCACGGGATGGACCTGTTTGCGGTGGCCGTCCATGAGTTCGGCCACGCCATCGGGCTGAGCCACGTGGCCGCCTCGAGCTCCATCATGCAGCCGTACTACCGAGGTCCCGTGGGGGACCCCCTGCGCTACGGGCTGCCCTACGAGGACCGCGTGCGCGTCTGGCAGCTGTACGGTGAGCCTGGCGCCCGCGGGGGACGCGCCCCCTGGTGGCCACACGCGGTGGGCGCTCAGCCTGGGCCTCTCTGTGTACAGAGGGGTCTTGCTCCCTGCCCTGGCCCAGGAGGAGGGAAAGGGGGGGCCGCGGCTGGCCTGGCGTGTACCCCTAGCTCCCGGGGCCTCTGCACTGCTGGGTGTGCTGGCCAAGCTACCCCACTGACCGCGGGGCTGGAGCCAGGCTTGGTTCTGTGGAGTCCCCGGGGAGGGGCGGGCGGGCAGGGGGCCTTTCCACCTTTGTCTCCTGGTCCCCACAGGAGTGCGTGAGTCCGTGTCCCCCACGGCACAGCTTGACATCCCAGAGCCTGAGGAGCCCCCCTTGCTGCCAGAGCCCCCTGAAAACCGCTCCAGCACCCCGTAAGCCAGAGCCCCACAGCCGGGCCCAGCTGCGCAAAGCCTCACTGGGTGCCGGCTGGACCCGCACGTGCCTTGTTCCCCCCACCGCACCCCTGCACACCCCCTCCTCCTCCCCAGAACACGCTCCCTCCTCCTCCCCGGCACACGCTCACCATCCTGAAGACCCGCACAAGCCCTGTTCCCCCCACCCTCCCACCACCACCACACACCCCTGCATGCCCCCTCCCCCGCAGCGTTGCTACCATTCCTTTTCTGGGGCTGTGTTGGGAAAGTGGAGTTGGGTCCCAGACTCCCATTCAGCACCACCATGGTGTACAGAACCCAGACTGCCCCCGGGGGTCTCCAGCTGTGGTGCACTGCTGTGTGCCGAGGTTAGACCTGCCTGCGGTGCACCGAAGTTAGAGCTGCCCGCAGTGCGCCGAGGTTAGACCTGTGCTGTGTGCCGAGGTTAGACCTGCCCGCGGTGTGCATGCTGCGCTGTGTGCAGAGGTTGGACCTGCCCGCGGTGCGCATGCTGCGCTGTGTGCAGAGGTTGGACCTGCCCGCGGTGTGCATGCTGCGCTGTGTGCAGAGGTTGGACCTGCCCGCAGTGTGCATGCTGCGCTGTGTGCCGAGGTTAGACCTGCCCGCGGTGTGCATGCTGCGCTGTGTGCAGAGGTTAGACCTGCCAGCGGTGTGCATGCTGCGCTGTGTGCAGAGGTTGGACCTGCCTGCGGTGTGCATGCTGCGCTGTGTGCAGAGGTTGGACCTGCCTGCGGTGTGCATGCTGCGCTGTGTGCAGAGGTTGGACCTGCCTGCGGTGTGCATGCTGCGCTGGGTGCCGAGGTTGGACCTGCCTGCGGTGTGCATGCTGCGCTGTGTGCAGAGGTTGGACCTGCCTGCGGTGTGCATGCTGCGCTGGGTGCAGAGGTTGGACCTGCCTGCGGTGTGCATGCTGCGCTGGGTGCAGAGGTTGGACCTGCCCGCGGTGTGCATGCTGCGCTGTGTGCAGAGGTTGGACCTGCCCGCGGTGTGCATGCTGCGCTGTGTGCAGAGGTTAGACCTGCCCGCGGTGTGCATGCTGCGCTGTGTGCAGAGGTTGGACCTGCCCGCGGTGTGCATGCTGCGCTGTGTGCAGAGGTTGGACCTGCCTGCGGTGTGCTTGCTGCGCTGTGTGCAGAGGTTGGACCTGCCTGCGGTGTGCATGCTGCGCTGTGTGCAGAGGTTGGACCTGCCTGCGGTGTGCATGCTGCGCTGTGTGCAGAGGTTAGACCTGCCTGCGGTGTGCATGCTGTGCTGTGTGCCGAGGTTAGACCTGCCTGCGGTGTGCTTGCTGCGCTGTGTGCAGAGGTTGGACCTGCCCGCGGTGTGCATGCTGTGCTGTGTGCAGAGGTTGGACCTGCCCGCGGTGTGCATGCTGCGCTGTGTGCAGAGGTTGGACCTGCCCGCGGTGTGCATGCTGCGCTGTGTGCAGAGGTTGGACCTGCCCGCGGTGTGCTTGCTGCGCTGTGTGCAGAGGTTGGACCTGCCTGCGGTGTGCATGCTGCGCTGTGTGCAGAGGTTGGACCTGCCTGCGGTGTGCATGCTGCGCTGTGTGCAGAGGTTAGACCTGCCTGCGGTGTGCATGCTGTGCTGTGTGCCGAGGTTAGACCTGCCTGCGGTGTGCTTGCTGCGCTGTGTGCAGAGGTTGGACCTGCCCGCGGTGTGCATGCTGTGCTGTGTGCAGAGGTTGGACCTGCCCGCGGTGTGCATGCTGCGCTGTGTGCAGAGGTTGGACCTGCCTGCGGTGTGCATGCTTCGCTGTGTGCAGAGGTTAGACCTGCCTGCGGTGTGCATGCTGCGCTGTGTGCAGAGGTTGGGCCTGCCTGCGGTGTGCATGCTGCGCTGTGTGCCGAGGTTAGGCCTGCCTGCGGTGTGCATGCTGCGCTGTGTGCCGAGGTTAGACCTGCCTGCGGTGTGCGTGCTGTGCTGTGTGCAGAGGTTGGACCTGCCTGCGGTGTGCATGCTGCACTGTGTGCAGAGGTTAGACCTGCCTGCAGTGTGCATGCTGCGCTGTGTGCAGAGGTTGGACCTGCCTGCGGTGTGCATGCTGTGCTGTGTGCAGAGGTTAGACCTGCCTGCGGTGTGCATGCTGCGCTGTGTGCAGAGGTTAGACCTGCCTGCGGTGTGCATGCTGCGCTGTGTGCAGAGATTGGACCTGCCTGCGGTGTGCATGCTGCGCTGTGTGCAGAGGTTAGACCTGCCTGCGGTGTGCATGCTGCGCTGTGTGCAGAGGTTAGACCTGCCTGCGGTGCACCGAGGTTAGAGCTGCCCACAGTGCGCCGAGGTTAGACCTGTGCTGTGTGCAGAGGTTGGACCTCTATTGCTTGGGAAGGGGCAGGAGGCTCTGGTTCTGGCTCATCTCTCTCCACTGACTGCTGTCTGGCCCAGCCCGTGAGAGTTATCCACACCTGAGGTTCTGGGTTCGGGACCCATGACCCCTGACCCCAGCGCTGGCTCTGTGCCCACAGGCTGAGGACGGACGTGCCTCACAGGTGCACTGCGCACTTCGACGCTGTGGCCCAGATCCGCGGGGAAGCCTTCTTCTTCAAAGGTAATGCAGGGCCCAGGGGCAGAGGGGCCAGACCTCGGAGGGCCGGGGGGGGAGGGGGAGGGGGACTAGGGCAGACCTCGGAGGGATGGAGGGGTACCAGGGTCAGACCTCAGAGGGACAGCCCGCCCCCAGCCACTTCCCGTCTGCCCCTCAGGCAAGTACTTCTGGCGCCTGACGAGGGACCGGCACCTGGTGTCCCTGCGGCCAGCTCAGATGCACCGCTTCTGGCGAGGCCTGCCGCTGCACCTGGACAGCGTGGACGCTGTGTACGAGCGCACCAGCGACCACAAGATCGTGTTCTTCAAAGGTGGGTGCCCCAGGCCTCGCCCTCTCCAGTTGCGCCGCCATGGCTCTCCCCGGCCCACGGACCTGCCCCCATCCTCCAGCCCCGCACGGCGCAGACCTGCCCCCATCCTCCAGCCCCGCACGGGGCAGACATGCCCCCATCCTCCAGCCCTGCACGGGGCAGCGTAGTGCTGCGCCAGCCTGCGCTCTCTGCTGGTGTGTGTTGGCACCGACTGTGGACCGCCCACGCTGAGGCGGCCCGCAGGCTCACAGTGGGCACAGACGGAATCTGTCCTTGGGGCGGAGTCCCGACGCGCCTCCAGGGCCAGGAGGAGGAGCAGCGGAGGGGCTGCCACGCAGGCCGCAGGCCCTCCCAGGACTAGGAGCACAGGCACGTGCAGCCACACCGAGCCAGCCTCTTCCTTTTTAAGGCTGAATAACATTTATGTGGTCAAGCACTGCTGGCTCACGCCTGTCATCCTGGCTACTCAGGAGGCTGAGATCCGAGGATCATGGTTCAAAGCCAGCCTGGACAGGAAAGGCTGTGAGACTCTTATCTCCAATTAACCACTCAAAAACCGGAGGTGGCGCTGTGGCTCAAGTGGTAGAGTGCTCACCTTCAGCTGAAGAGCTGAGGGACAGCGCCCAGGCCCAGAGTTCAAGCCCCATGACCAACCAAAAAAAAAAGAAAATTATTTGTTTGTTTTGTCAGTCTTGGAGCTTGAACTCAGGAATTGTGCACTGTCCGAGTTTCTTTTTCTCAAGGCTAGTGCTATACCACTTGAGTCACAGCTCCGATTTTTTGGTGGTCATTGGAGATAAGAGTCTCATGGACTTTCCTGCCTGGGCTGGCTTTGAACCACGATCCTCAGATCTCAGTTTCTTGAGCAGCTGGGATTACAGGCGTGAGCCACCAGTGCCTGGCTGATTGCAGGCGTGAGCAGCCAGCAACACTCAGCTGTTTAATGTTTTGAGAAGCCGTCGTGCTCCTCTCCACGATGGCTGTGCCCTCCTCATTCCGCAGCCAGCGCAGGCTCCTCTCCACGTCCTGGCCAGCCTGCACTTCACGCTCATCTGCATGCACTCTGTGCCGCTCCCCATTGCATCCCCCCACAGATGAGCCGTACTGGCTGCTTGTTGCGTGTGGTGTTTGTGTCGTTTTGGCTTTTGGCTAGCCGTTTTCTGTGTTTTGCTTTTTGCTTTGTAGTCAGGGCCTCTCTGTGTAGCCCAGGCCAGCCTTGAACTCTGATTCCTCCTGGCTCAGCTTCCCAAGTGCTGGACTGCGATTCCAGCACCAGCTGCTTGGGAATCTTTATGGGATACGTGTGCAAACCCGGTCCAGGCCGAGGGCATTAGTAGCTCACTCCTGCATGAAGTCCACAGGCTGTGAGGTTTGGCCTCTGACTCTGTCTTTGCCTGTGAATCTGTCCCCGCCCTGTGTGTGGAACACTGGTAGGGAAGGCAAGACAGCTTTGTGGGGCCGCGGGTGCTTCTCAGATCTCCGTCCCCGGCACTAAGTGGATGCCCACACACACAGGTGGCTGGTAACCTGGCGACCAACGCCAGGCGCAGAGTCGGTGCTCAGTGAATACTCGTGAGGACGCAGGCCGGGGGGGGGGGCTGAGCACCTTGTGCCCCTGCCTGGGTGAGGGTGACAGACACAGGAGAGCCCAGCTGGGGCTCCCCACCCCAGGCTGAGCTGAGCCGAGCCCTGCCGCTGGCTCTTTCTCTCGCCCCCAGGAGACAGATACTGGGTGTTTAAGGACAACAACGTAGAGGAAGGATACCCGCGGCCCATCTCCGACTTCAGCCTTCCGCCGGGCGGCGTGGACGCCGCCTTCTCCCAGGAGCACAATGACAGGACTTATTTCTTTAAGGACCAGCTGTACTGGCGCTATGATGACCACACCCGGCGCATGGACCCCGGCTACCCTGTCCAGGGGCCCCTGTGGAGGGGCGTCCCCAGCCCCCCGGACGACGCCATGCGCTGGTCTGATGGTGAGCGCTGGGCTTGGGCAGAGCTGCCCGCCCTCCGTCCCCTCCTCTGTGTGGAACATGAGTCGCAGTGGTGTTTCTGGGAGGAGCGACCCCCCCCACGTGCAGCGGTGTGGTCAGCCACTGACCCGTGACGTTTGAGAGGCCCTGGACACACACACACACACACTCACCGGCGTGCACACACACACACACACCCTGGACACACACTCACCAGCGTGCACACACACACACACACACACACACACCCTGGACACACACACTCACCGGCATGCACACACACCCTGGACACACACTCACCGGCGTGCACACACACACCCTGGACACACTCACCGGCGTGCACACACACACACACCCTGGACGCACACACACACTCACCGGCGTGTACACACACACACACCCTGGACACACACACACACTCACCGGCGTGCACACACACACACCCTGGACACACACACCGGCGTGCACACACACACCCTGGACACACACACACACTCACCGGCGTGCACACACACACACACACACACCCTGGACACACACACTCACCGGCGTGCACACACACACCCTGGACACACACACACACACCCTGGACACACACACACACTCACCGGCGTGCACACACACACACACCCTGGACACACACACCCTGGACACACACACTCACTGGCGTGCACACACACACCCTGGACACACTCACCGGCGTGCACACACACACACACCCTGGACACACACACCCTGGACACACACACACACTCACCGGCGTGCACACACACACACACCCTGGACACACACACACTCACCGGCGTGCACACACACACACCCTGGACACACACACACACTCACCGGCGTGCACACACACACACCCTGGACACACACACACTCACCGGCGTGCACACACACATACACACACCCTGGACACTCACACTCACCGGCGTGCACACACACACACACACCCTGGACACACACACTCACCGGTGTGCACACACACACACCCTGGACACACACACACTCACCAGCGTGCACACACACACACACCCTGGACACACACACTCACCGGTGTGCACACACACATACACACCCTGGACACACACACACACTCACCGGCGTGCACACACACACACCCTGGACACACACTCACCGGCGTGCACACACACACACACTCACCGGCGTGCACACACACACACCCTGGACACACACACTCACCGGCCTTGGCCCAGTGCCCACACAGGCCCTTCCTGAGCGCCACCTGCTCACTATACCAGCCCTGGGGCTCTGCCTAGAACTCCTTGCAGCGCTGGTCCTGGTTCCCCATCCATCGTGCTGTGCCCCAGCAGCTAGAGCTGCTTGCACAGAGTGGAGCCTAGATCAAAACCGTGTACAGGGAGGGAGCTAGAGGTGGCAGCCCATTCCCACCTCCACCCAGGCCTGCTCAGGGCCGGTTTGAGGCCCCCCGAGACGCAGGGCTGCCCCACCACCGCCCGCATCCTCTCTGCAGGTGCGTCCTACTTCTTCCGCGGCCAGGAGTACTGGAAGGTGCTGGACGGCGAGCTAGAGGTGGCCCCCGGATACCCGCAGTCCACGGCCCGGGACTGGCTGGTGTGCGGAGAGCCTCCTGCCGAGGACGGTGGCCGTGCGGGGCCGGCACAGGGCCGCAGCGGCGCCCAGGACAGCCCGGCCACCTGCTCCTGCACCTCTGCCGCACATCGGCTCTCACCCCCGGGGCCCCCAAAGCTGCTGCTGCTGCTGCCGCTGCCGCTGCTGCCGCTGCCGCTGCTGCCACCGGCCTGGGCACTGGGTTCTCTGGCCCCTGCCCGGGCACCCTGAGGGAGACGCTGGCCACAAGGGAAGAGGGAAACCCAGAGGGCAAGACCACACGTGCTGTGGGCCGCCCGCAGGCCAGCCTCGGGCCCCACATCAGGCATCTCCCACCTCACCTGGCAGGGCCCCGGACGGCAGCGGGGAGGACGCCACCCCTGCTCTGGGTCACAGCGGCTCTGATGCACTTTGGTGGTCCTCTTGACCTCTCTGCCCCCTGAGCCGGCCCTGTGCTCGGCCACCAATAGGGAGTCGAGGCCCAGTGGAGAAACTTCCAAGTGCAGACGCGGACACACTGACCCAGAGCCCTGCTAGGAGCCAAAGCCGGCTGCCAGCAGGGTCCCTGCTTGCTCCGCTCCAGGCCCACCCCACCGGCCGCCCCCAGCCAGGCCCCTGCTCTGACAAGTTCGGAGTCCTGGCTCAGCCACAGGCAGAGGACATTCCTGTGCCACTGACTCCCGTTCCCTCTGAGCTGGGACGGGCCCGGGGGGCATTTGCACCCCTGAGCCGGCCTGCCAGCACCCATGGCTGTGGCAAGGTGTCCTGTGGGCTGTGCGGGAGACCCACCTGGGTCGAGGCTTCAGGAGCAAGTGGGGTGAGCCCTGGGCCCCAGGCAGGAGAGCAGGAGAGCAGTGGTGGGCATGGGGGCTTCCAGGAGCGGCCAGGCAGGCCACAGCATTGTCTCCTGGAGTTGGACCTGTGAGAGGGAGGGAGGCCGAGCCCCTGGCTCTGATCTGAGGGGAGGGCAGCACAGCAGAGCACAGTAGAGACAGGCGTGTGCCCTAGACACCACTGTTACACCCCACAGACTCCATCATCCACACCCCCAGACGCCATCTACAATCCCCAGATCCTGTCATCCAGACCCTACCATCCACACCCCCAAATGCCATCTACAGTCCCCAGACCCTATCATCCAGATCCGCAAATGCCATCTACAATCCCCAGATCCTGTCATCCAGACCCTACCATCCACACCCCCAGACTCCATACCCCCAAATGCCATCTACAATCCCCAGATCCTGTCATCCAGACCCTACCATCCACACCCCCAGACTCCATCCATACCCCCAAATGCCATCTACAATCCCCAGATCCTGTCATCCAGACCCTACCATCCACACCCCTCAGACCCCATCAGCACACCCCAGACTCCATCATCCAGCCTCTCAGATCCCATCAGCCACAACCCCCAGATCCTATCATCTAAAACCCCCAGGTACCACCATCCCCAGACCCTATCATCCAGACTCATCCATCCACACCCCTGGGCTCCCTCATCCACACCCCCAGACCCCTCCATCCACACCCACACCCCCAGACTCCTCCATCCAGACCCCTCCATCCACACCCCTGGACTCCCCCATCCAGACCCCTCCATCCGCACCCCCAGACCCCTCCATCCGCACCCCCAGACCCCTCCATCCGCACCCCCAGACCCCTCCATCCGCACCCCCAGACCCCTCCATCCGCACCCCCAGACCCCTCCATCCGCACCCCCAGACCCCTCCATCCGCACCCCCAGACCCCTCCATCCGCACCCCCAGACTCCTCCATCCGCACCCCCGGGCTCCCTCATCCGCACCCCCAGACCCCTCCATCCACACCCCTGGACTCCCCCATCCAGACCCCTCCATCCGCACCCTTGGACTCCCCCATCCAGATCCCTCCATCCACACCCCCAGATCCCTCCATCTGCACACCCCACCATCCTCACCCCTGGACCCCTCCATCCCCGCCTCTGGCACCTGGTGCAGAGAGCCTAGAGCCTGCTCTGTGGCCCTTGGACCGGGAGCTGGCCGGGGAGAGGGCGGGTGTGCAGGCAGAGGCCTGTGCTCCCCCTGGCCAGCCTGCCGTCTGCCACCCACTCCCAGAAGCGATGGGCCGCCCCGGCCCTGCTCCACAGGGCTGTGCTGCTGCGCCGCCCCTGGCAGGTCCCCGTGTCCTGCAGCCTGTGGGGGGGACCCTGTACAGTTGGGGTACCGCGCAAGAGTGCTGAGCTCAGGGCACTCTTGCAGAAGTCTCACTGTCATTTTAAAATCCAAACTAATAAAGTTTTTCTACACCAGCTGGGGGCGGCTCCATGGGAGAGCTCTTGCCTAGCATGTCCCCAGCACCTGGAAAAAGCTCTGTGCCCTTTGGGACGAAGAGGTAAACAGGAGGCTACCTGAGGCCCCCCCCCCAGCCCGTCTGCATGCGTGGGAGGGGGCGGCCAGCTTCCACAGCTGCAGGCCTGCACGAGAGAGCTCCGGACAAGATCCTTCCCTGGGTCACTTGTCACCCTGCGACCTCCTGGGGTGGCAGCTGGGGGGTGACTTGGGAATGCCTGGCCACAAGACCTCCACCCCCCCATCCCCAGCTTGTTTCTCAATGCCCTCTGCGGGGAAAGCCCAGTCTGGCGGCTCTGTGCCGCCCACCCGGCTTGCTCCCAACCCAGCAGCTCCAGCTCCGTGATGCCCAGCTTGCTCTCAGCCAGGCCTGTCGCTTGGCCTCCCCTGAGCCCTGTGACCTTGGCACTGGCCAAGGTGGTAGGGTTAGCCTGTCTGATGCTTCCTGACTCCTTCCCACCCTGAGTCTGGCAGTGACCAGGCTGCACTGGGACTGGAGGTGTGGCTGGAGGTAGAGCGCTAGCCTTGAGCCAAAGAGCTCAGGGATAGCACCCAGACCCCGAGTTCAAGCCCCAGGGCCTGCGCAGAAACAGGCAGTGGACTCCCCAGGGAGCCCCATGGAGTCCCCGTCCCACAGGACTGTGGTGCTGACAGGTTCCTCCCCGACTGGCAGCGGGGAGTGAGGAGGGCTGAGTGAGCAGCTCCCCCAGCTCTTCTGGGGAGTTGGGACTGGAAAGGCTCTGTGAACTGGGCCGGGCAGCACAAAGCTTCAGGAGATGGGTTGTGCCTGTGTTCAGGTAATAGCAAGTAAACAACTACCCCCTAATTAACTCGGCAGGGAAGAGGGCTGCCTCGGTTTGCAGGGAGAACCGGTAATCTGGCTGCCTCCCCCTGCGCGCACACAGACAGCCTAGGAGGTCCACCTGGCTGGAGGGACAGATTGGGCAAAGGCCCCGGGGCCTGCACCAGGATGTTGGACCTACATTGCGTCACCTGGGAATTCCTGCCCCCAGCTTGGCCCTGATGCAATCTGCTCCCGCCTCACGGCACGGCCTGCCCGGCTGGACTCTGGCCCGCAGGCCAGGCACAGACGGCCTCCGACCTTCCACCCTTGCCTTGTCCAGGCCGGCAACAGCTCCAGCTCCTTTCTGCCCTGCACTGGCGGGGTGATCCTCGCTGAGCCAGCTCATCCCCAGGCCTCTCTTCCACATTTGTCAACCAGACTGTGGGCTTGGAAAAGCAGATTGTGTCCTTGCTAAAAGCAGGTGCCCAGGCTGGCCAGCCCCTTCTGCCTTGGACTGCTTGAGTGTATGGTTTTATTTTGTATTTTATTTGGCAAGGTCTTGCTATATTGATCCTCCTGCCTCAGACTCCAGAGTTCTGGGACTTGGCGGGGAGGTGGAAAGTGTTGTGTTTTCTTTTTAGTTCTGTGCCAATTCCAGGGGTTGAACTCAAGGTCTCCCATTCTTGGTCAGCTTTTGGCTCATAGCTGGTGCTCTACCACTTGAGCCATGCCTCCACTTTAGCAGTTGGCTACTTCATTGGAGGTAAGAAACTGGAGAACTTGCTGACTTTGAATGGAAGCCCTCAGATCTCTGCCTCCTGAATAGCAGGGTGACAGGGGTAAGCTGCCCGGCACCACTTCTTCATCTGTCAGCCCCGTCTTCATTACTGCAGGGCGGGAACCAGCCCACCGGCCTGGCCCCCAGGCCTTACCCAGCCCTCTGAGCAATCAGCCACTTCACCCCGCCTGCTGGACAGGTTTGTTGCTGAAAAACCTAAATGCCCGGAACCGCCCTGCCAGGGGCTGCGTGTCCCCCTGGCTCTCCTCGCCTGGGAGGCATTTGGGTTGGGGCCAGGCCTGGAGCTCCCTGAGGCCCCCAGAGGGGAAAGGGGCTCCACAGGCCCACAGCACCTGAGGAAGGGTTCAAACCCCCGGGAGATGAGAGTGGAAAGGCAGGAAGCCGCCTGGTCCAGGAAGGAGAGGTCTGTGTGTCTGCGCCCTCACTGCCAGCATGGGTGTGTGTCAGGCATGGGTGGAGAGGGTTTATATCTTCCCAAAATGGACGGCTTCCACCGGTCTGCCCGGACCAGAACCGACAGTTGTTTGAGGGATTTCTCATGGTGTATGCTTTTGTGGAAATGAGAGTTCGAGACTCAAAACCCTGATTCCCAGCAGTAGCCTTTACACTTTCTCATCTGGGGAAATACGGCCCTGTGGTCCAGCGGCCCCTCTCCAACTGGTAGACCACAGTTCTGATGGCCAAGATAAGAGTGGTTTATGATTCTGAAATTTGCAGCTGTTTTTTTTTTTTTTGTCGGTTGTGGGGCTTGAACTCTGGGCCTGGGCACTGTCCCTCAGCTCTTCAGCTCAAGGCGAGCGCTCTACCACTTGAGCTACAGTGCCACTTCCGGTTTTCTGGTGGTTTATTGGAGATAGGAGTCTCACGGTCTCTCCTGCCCAGGCTGGCTTTGAACCGCGATCCTCAGATCTCAGCCTCCTGAGTAGCTAGGATGACAGGCGTGAGCCACCAGCGCCCGGCGCTTTGCAGCTGTTTCTACACCCACCTAGGGCACACAGATGGTGGTCTGGGCCTCCTTTCCCAGATGTTTCTGATTTGGGGGGTCTCAACCATACAAGGAAATTTCCCACATTTTGATGCCAGGCACTGGTGGCTCATGCCTACAGTCCCAGCTACTCAGGAGGCTGAGATCTGAGGATCACCATGCAAAGCCAGAATGGCCAGAAAGCCCAGGAGATTCTTATCTCCAATAAACTACTTAGGAAAATCTGGAAGTGGTGCTGTGGCTCAAGTGATAGAATGCCAGTCTTTAGCAAAAAAGCTCAGGGACAGTGCCCAGACCCTGAGTTCAAGCCCCAGGACTGGCAAAAAAAAAAAGTGAGAGCCCGTCACCCTGAGTTGAACTGCCCACACGTGCGCATGCACACACAATAATAATAACAACAATAACAACAACAACAATAATAATATAATAAAGAAATTAGTCCTTCAATCGAATCTGCGGATCAGTTGGTGTTGGGCGGGCCAGGAAAACACTCCAGTTCTGTAAAGGGTAGGTACTAAAGGGAGGGGCTGAGTTAACAGGAAGCCTGAGAGAATGAAATTCCTCAAAGTAGTTCTTCAGCCGCTTAGGACACATTGAAACCTTGTTGAAATTGTTCTGGGAGGGAAGCAATGGGGGGTGGGAGTGATTGGAATATGCTGTAATACTGTAAATGTGTGGAAATGTTGCAACAAAAGGAAGGGGAAGGGAAGGGAGGGGGCGGAGAGGGAGGGTCAGTGGTAGAGTGCTTGCCTGGCAAGCATGAAGCCCTGGGTTCAATTCCTCAGTACCACATACACAGAAAAATCCAGAAGTGGAGCTGTGGTTCAAGTGATAGAGTGCTAGCCTTGAGCAAAAGAAGCTCGGCCCAGGCTGTGAATTCAAGCCCCAGGACTGGCCAAAAAAGAAAAAAAAAAAAAAAAAGCCAAAGGAGCTGGGCACTGGTGGCTCACTCCTGTAATCCTAGCTACTCAGGAGGCTGAGATCTAAGGATCTTGGTTCAAAGCCAGCCCAGGCAAGAAAGTCCGTGAGACTCTTATCTCCAATAAACCACCAGAAAACCGGAAGTGGCATTGTAGCTCAAGTGGTAGAGCACTTGCCTTGAGTTGAAGAGCTGAGGGACAGTGCCCAGGTCCAGAGTTCAAGCCCCACAACCGACAAAAAAAAAAAAAAAAAAGCCAAAGGAGGGCACAAAGCCCTGAGTTCGAGCCCAGGTACCTGCGCATGCACCGCGCGCGCGCGCGCGCGTGCACACACACACACAAAGTTGCTGAGTTGTAACAGGTACTTAAGCTTAGCCCACACATAAACTAAAAGAGGAAGACATGCTTGGGAGCCATTCCTGACTCCATTTTTTTGTTGTTGTTGGCTGTGGGGCCTGAACTCTGGGCCTGGGCGCTGTCCCTCAGCTCTTCAGCTCAAGGTGAGTGCTCTACTACTGGAGCCACAGCGCCACTTCTGGTTTTCTGGTGGTTTATTGGAGATAAGAGTCTCATGGACTTTCCTACTCAGGATGGCTTTGAACCAGGATCCTCAGATCTCAGCCTCCTGAGTAGCTAGGATGACAGGCGTGAGCCACCGGTGCCCAGCTTCCTGCCTCCGTTTTTATCAGCCGCTGTTCCCAGGCCCCCAAGAACCCTTGGAGGACAGGGCTGAGCGTGCCTCTGGATGTAAGTGTTTAGAGAGCACCAGCAGAGCTTGTAGGCAAGCTGCCTCCCCCAGGGAAGGACTTTTGCCGTCTCTTGGTCATGCAGGGGCAAGTGCCTGGAACTGGTCATGTGGCCACCACAGCTCCACAAGTCTCAGCAGCACAGAACCGTGCAGGTGTCCCCAGCGCCTCTGGTCAGTCCCCATGTATGTCCTCGTCACCAGTAGCTCAGTGATAGCGGGCATCTCAGGACTGCCCTACTGAGCGACCAGCGGACCCAAGGCCGGGGCCTGGACAGGGACCAGGAGCACCAGGTCACAGCCAGAAGTTATTCCTGAAGCTGCACTGACCACAGACCAACCAGAACCTGCACACGTGGCCTCCAGCCCCAGGGACAGGAATTCCACCCCCCAGGGTCAGCTGGGAAAGGTGGGAGACCTCAGCACCGGGAAGATGGGGCCCAAGTAACTGCCCTTTAAGTAGAAAAGCCACAGCCCACAGTCCCACGTGTGTGTCGCACACATGTGTGCGGGTGTGGTGTCCGCGAGGCGCGGCTGAGGACTTTGGCTCCTCTGCCTCAGAGCCCTGGGGCCTGCCACCTGAATTCTGGCTCTGGCTGGGCGCCAGGTAACCCAGGCAGCAGCTGGTGTGGCGTCCGTGGGCAGGGTAGGGTGATGC